GTAATATTTAATATGGAATGGACAGTGAACATCTCCATTTGCTGTCTCGACAAACTATCAGATTCTTCAGAATATCAGATTTTTCAGAATACCATAATCAGAGTCTGAATGCACAGACTAGTCCTGCTGGTGATGATGGTTGAGAGATCCAAGGTCCGCACATAGAAACCGAAGGGTGCATTCCTTTATATGGCTCATGGCCGTATTGCTTTTCACAGAAACTCTCATCAAAGCATGCATCATTCCCGCGCCAAGGCACAACACAAAATATTATTCCATTGTTTGTTGAGATCCAGAAAAGGTACTAACATGTACTGCTATCAAGGATTCTGCCCATGTAATTTTATACAGAATTAATGCCTTTCTAGCACTGAACAGATTACTTTCACTAAAAATTGTCTAGACTGGTGAATTTTCAAATAGAATTTCTTCAGGAAGCATTTCATTTTTTTGTTAAACTGATATTTTGTTGTAGGATTGGAATGTTTATTTATTTTTTTTAATTCTATCTTTCCTGTGCATATATCAAATTAAAAAAACTTGATCTTTGAACATTCTTTATGAAAATAGAATTAATAGAATGGGAAACAAATCAAATAATTTTGTTGGGGATGTTGGGCTATTTCTGTAGCTTTTGTTTTGCTTTGTTACAGAATAGAAACTAAATCATTTCATTTTTGGTGCACAGTTGCCTGACATACGTTATGACCCAGGACAACAAGATGCATATAATAGAAACTAAATCATTTCATTTTTTCCGGGAAAATAAAGCATTAGTTAAAATTTGAAACGTCTTGTAAACAAAATGACTGAAATTAGGAATAATGATCCATCATGCAAAACTTTGGCTCTTGGGAAAAGAAAAGGCTAATCTCTAAAGAAATCCCTCCCTCTGCCTTCCCCTTAGGAGACAGATTAATCATTTTCAATATGTAATATATATGTACATAATGTCAAGGATTAGGTGTAGTTTAATACGAAAAATACCACCCCCTCCCCCCCCCCCCAAAAAAAAAAAAAAAATCTTCCCATCCTCCTGATGGTGGTGGGTGGATCAAATAAAAAGAAACATTACTTCAAAGGACAAAGGCTGATGACAAAATTCCAACTACCCCTATGTGTAGAATGTGCTCTCTGAGGCGCGACCTCGCTTTCATAGATCATCTAATCTTTCATTCATGGATCAGTGAGTAGCTACAGAGCCTAAATTCATAGTTAAGACGATCATGGAATTTCCCTCTCAGTGTCCCCCAAATCCCAAGTCTATTGTCTGGGTGCCATGGCCTTCTCACCAGGTAAAAAAACTGGGCGCAGCCTCCGCCCCATATCTGGGGTGAACCGCCGTGACCCCACGTGGGGTCATGTTCGTATGTATCTTCCAGGGTAGTGTGAGAAAAGGAAAGGAGTTCTATTGATTGCAGTTCAACTTAGTCTACTAATGCAGACTGCTGTGTAGTGGTATTCACTACGGTAGTCTGAACTGAAACTATTTATCAAAGCAGAGCAAGAGAGGGCGGGAGGAGGGAAATACATGGAGGGAGGGGGTAAAAAAAAAGAGGGGGTAAAAAAAAGAGGGGTTAGAATAATTGAGAATGGTGAGAGAATGAGGGAATAGGGAAAGGTGGGGAGGGAAAGAATAATAAATGAAAGCCTATCGAGAAACATCCGGAGTGATACACACAGAAAGATGGAGAAACAGAAATAAGAAATAGAGATGGAGAAGAGGCAGAAATTACAAGAATGAGAGAAAGAATTGTTAATGTTAAATTTTTCATTAATTTATTTAGAAGTATTGCATTGCGATTGCATTGTGAAAGAAACGTTGTGGAATCGATCAGAAAAGGTTGATCATCTAGCATCTGCAAGGTTCTGGAATCATCAAAATGATAAGAAATTTGGCCCATTCTTCGTAAAGTTACAAGCACTATACACAGAAAGATGTATATGGGACTATCCTATATCTCTCACAGACCATGAGAGAAACAAATTTACCAAATATATGAATTAGTAGGCGGTTTCCCGGCAAATTTGTTATCATCATGTATTAGTCAAAACATATTCTTTCACATGATTTGTAATGAGAGCTTCCATTTCATTTTTTGAAATTGGGGCGATTCCAATACATTTACCTTTAAATTGTTCTATTTTCAATACACGCTGTAATTTTGTTTTTCCTAATAATTGTTATTCAGTATATCAACTACTACAACATAATTTATAAAATTAGAAGAGAGAGGGGGTATATTTTGAATGCATAATCTAGGAAATTCCACTTTTCTCTATGTGATTATTAATGATAAATCTATTTCTTCTTTAATATCCCATTCTCACTCTTGATCCGACATTCCTTCATATCAATAGTCACAGGAAATGACACAAAATGCCAGTGAACTTGTTGACCCTTAATCAAACCTTACCCCAATGGCATCCATCCGACCTGTCAATTCTATATTCAACATTTTGATAGTTATTTATATGTCAAGAGTTTGACATGAAATTTGAGCCAATGCATATGAATCTTCTAGGAATATATATTTGGGGAGGGAGAGAAAAGAAACAAGGTTTGAAACCTGTCAATCGCAGTCAACAGTTTGGGAGCTGTCATTTCACCAAGAGCTGGCATATACTTTGATTATATGTGAATTAAATGCACAATTTATTTATTATTTTCATTTGGGGTAGCAAAAGGGAGGTTGAACTGTTCATAAATCTATCTCATACTGGTATTAAGAATATTTTTTAAATAAGAAAGAAAATTGTATCATTGTGTTTTAATTAATGAAATTAGTGTTTTTGTGAATTTTCAACATTGCTTTCCAAAATGCAGGGAGGAAAATATCATACATGGCAATTTCATAAATAACTGAATCCTGAAAAGAAATATTTCACCTTTCAAGTTTGTTGTCTTGGTGATTTTGCTATCCTACATTGGATTTTTTTAAATTCCCACAGCCCCCGGAAGCTTCAATAGTACCTTTAATACCCGAGAAGTCAGTATTTATAATTGAAAGTTCATGGAAAGTGTGAGAAATCAAATAAAAAAGAAGCCTGTGTCTGTGGATTGCATGACTAATTTCTGCACCAATGCAGCAGAGCCTCTGGAAATGGGATTGAGCCCCGCCTCTAAAGGAGAAAGAACACTTTTGGTCTATTTATCCATGAAGGGTTGTCTGGGGTTCATAAAAAAATTGCTGGGTTGGGTAGGGGTGATACAAATACAAAACTTTTCGGTGCCATGGTTGCCAAATCCTTTCCAAAACTTTGAATGTTATACAATGCATTTGGACTAAGAAATTTCACTTTTTTTCTATCAAAATGGAAACATGTACCGGTCCGGTACACATATTGTGGAGTTTGTGAACATGGAAAATGTTTTATACCAAATTTAAAATTTAATAACAGAATTAATATTTTGACACTTGAAACTCTGACAAACTTTTGCATTTCATATTTTTCATAATGGTATACAAAATAATAAATAAAATCATGTTTCATAGGCCCAAAATTCTAGAACCTAACAATATTTACTTGTGTTTTGGCTCAGAAGCCATTATTTTAATCCACTAGCAATCAACTATACTTGAATATTGATAAAGATAAAAGAGGCTAATAAATGCTTTAATTTTTTCCCTGTCCAGTGCTGAACAATTATCTTTAAAGCAGGAGATGATTTCTTTTTAAACTACATGTTTCTCTGTATTAAGGACTAATAGCTTAATTTGCCACAGACAATAAACAACTTAGAGTCAAGAAGTTAATGATGAAATCAAAGGCGCCGGATTCTTTAAGGGGTATGGGAATTGTCAGGTCCACTTAAGTAGTATGACGGGCAAACTCAAACTTGATTGAAATGGTCAAGCGGTCAGTTTTCTGGCCAGTAGACAGGAATTCAGAGATTTCCACAAGGACCGCCCAGTCAATGTCTACCTCGTATTAATATGAGAGGTCATCGAGAACAATCAAGAACAATCAAGATATCCTGATCTCACTCAAACAGGTTTGACCTTTCACCTTGAAAGGAGGCTTTTCAGGAAAAAAGTAGTAACATTAAAATAAAAACACTATATACTGTAAACTGTTAAGCCTAAAATCAAACTCTTTCAAAATTATATTTTCAAAATTGGCCTCAGAAATAGAAAGTTTTTCTAATGGTTAAATTCATAAATAGTTTTCCAACTAGCATTTTTTGTTTAGTGGATCTACATTTACTGTTTTAGGAGAATATTTTCACAGCTGAATAATTAGAGTTGACATTGATAAGGAAATGCCAGAGAAAGGACTTGATGTCCCAGTTGAAGAGGTGTGACATGACAATAATTTGGTATTTCTGGTCTTGGATCATGTCAATTTTTCTTCCTTTTCTTCATTCACGTCTTCACCGTCCTATGACCCAGACCCGAAGAGCCACAGACAACCTTGCTGGGTGAGAATTAAAGTTGAGCAGACAGGATATCCTAGGTCTTTATCCCCGAACAGGAATATTCCAACATGAACAAAAGGCTTTCCAAACAAGCCGTTGAAATGTGATAGTGGAGAGAGAAAGAAAGGGAAAGTTACAAGCGAAGGAGTGGAAGAAGAAGGAGGCTGAGAAAGAGGGGCCAAGGGACACTGAAAGCTACACCACATGAGCAAGGGACATCGTCAAGTAGAGGAAGTAGAGGGAGGAGAGGGAGGAGAGAGAGAGAGAGAGAGAGAGAGAGAGAGAGAAGGGTGTGGAAGAGAGAGGGATTGAGGCGATGAGACAGAGGGAGAGGGGGAGGGGGAGAGTAGACGAGGGGCGGGGAGACAGAGACGAATGGAGGGAACAAATAGAAAGAAAGATTAAAAGAGGAATGATTACATCATTGTATTTAATAGTTCTTGGAAAAAATGATGACAAAGGGTTGAACAGAACAGGAGAGGCAAAGGAAAGGACACAAATTAAAGGAGAGGGATGAAGAGAAATGGGGGACAAGTGCAAATTAAAATTAAAAGACAACAAGTTTTAAAGATGTACTTACCAAAATGTTCTCATACACTCATCACATGCTGTGTAAACTTGTTCTGCGTTCAAAGAAATAAGAAACCGAAACAAAAATTACACACATTACCAAGAATCTGTATATTCCACATAAACTACTTTCAGAGAATGATTATAAGCATGTACATGAAGCAGCCAAAACCATTATATTAATTCATGTACTTTTGAAATTAATATAAATGTTAAAAGAAACAACAACAAAATAGCTTTCTCACTCTGACCCCCCCCCCCCTTTCTCTCTCTCTCTCTCTCTCTCTCTTTCTCTCTCTCTCTCTTTCTCTTTCTCTTTCTCTCTCTTTCGAACATATACCTTACAGTACATAATTAATATCTCTTAATTCCCATTCCCTTCCAAAAGCGCAGAGCATCAATTTCCATATCACTAACATTCCAGCAGATAGATTACAAGCTATTAAAACAGTTGGGTTTCTAACGAGACGCAAGGGTGTGGCAGTTAATTCAGGGTGTGGCAACTTTGTAAATGACGCTAATTGAGACAAATGTTCAGCACTCTGTTCTTGGCATTTCATGCCTGGGTTAATAACAGTCTTGTCTCCTACATGTACATGTACAGACAGTATCCAAGACGGTTTATGATCGCGTTTGTTATGAATTACAGATTCCCAGACTATTGATGTCTCTTGAGTGTAGAATCGGTTTCCGTCCCCTGGAGCTGCTAGTAACTATTAATTGAAGCTAATCTTGACCTCTGTCGCTGCATTTCAAGCAAAACAGACAAATATAATTCTGAAGCATTTATCATGAGGATTGTTTAGAGTCACTTTGGACAAGCAAAATATAATCAAATGAATAAAAACCTGCTGAAATATCACATTCCTTTCATTATAACATAAATTTGCACATATGGTACTACAAGTTATATACAGTATACATGTATGTAGGACTACGTGTAACAATTTGATTTCCTTATCAAAAATTTCTTGCTCATTTCTCAGCACTCCCAGTATACATTTTTTACCAAAAATCGTCTGGCAGATATCATTAATACGTAATCTTAAATATTTGGTGACATTTTATCTTGACCTGTAAGAAATTATTTCCTGTCATTATTTATAGAACTCATAGATTGCCTTTAATGTTGCAAGATATAGGGCATGTACATAGCATGTAGCAGGTCATGCATGCACAGAAGTGTAGGATGGTGCAGTATACAATAATATATAATGTAGCACAGAGAAAATGATCACACTACAGGGACCAATCGTCTGTTTCGAGCCAGGAGTATTATTCATATATATACCAACCACCAAATAAAATATTGTGCTCTGTTTATTAGTAATTTCATGTTTAGTAATACTATAATTATTACAGTTTTAAATACATTTTGCAAACATAAAAGCGGCTTGTGAGTAGACTACTTAACGCACCAGTACCGCACACCCTCGCTTAAAATAGTGCCCAAGTCTGACGTGCGCAGTTTTATGTAATTAGGCACTACATTATGCACTACAGTAGATATATATCTGTAAAATATTGATGAACTATTATGGTGCCACCAAGTTCACAACATGTATTAAAAACAACACTTCATGAGACAACATTTCTTATATTGAACCTCTTTTATTTCTCCATCTTGATCATGAATATTATTCAATGATTCTGAACGTAAGGATGCATCAACCAAATTTGAATTTAAAAAAAAAGGAAATACAGGCTTGCCACTTTTCATTGTTAAAAAACTATCAATTCAAAACCACTCCTGTCAGTGAAGGCGTTCAACTGTATTTGAAGTTGTTCTATAATCCCGGTGTCAATCACATGACCTCCCAGTCAAGTCAGGTAAATTTAATCGAATTTAATGGGTGGTTAGGTCAGTCCTCGGAAAGGTTACTTTTGGACAAGAACTCAGACCTTGATCAACGAACTGACCCATATATACTGCAGTAAACAATGTCCCTAAAGACTGAAATATTGACAATATGGACGAGGTGAAGGTTGACAGTTGAGGAGTTTTCTCTTTTTATGCCATTCTTCTTCTGGTCCCCCCCCCCCCCCCCCCCCGCCTTTCTTTACCTCCCTCTTTCTCATTCTTGCTCTCTCTATCTGTATCTCTCTCTTTCATTCTTTCTCTCTCCTTCATTCCTCTTTTCAACTATCTTTACCTCTTTATGTATCTTTTACAATATCTAATTTCACTGTTTATGTACTTTCCTGAATATACATTTCTGCATTTCGCTCTCTCTGGGTTTTTTTCTTCTCTTTGTTGTTTAATATATATCGGGTTCTGATAATGATGCAAATTAAAGACGGGGAAGCGAAATAATCATACCTGCAAATGAATGTCATAGATAATGTACCTGTATACTTTTTATATGGTCGCAGGGTAATAATTGTGCATGTAAAAGACAATGTAATAATGTCCCCAATATCATGTGTATAATTATGTGCATGCTTATCTATGTTGATGGTTTACAGTGAAGGACTACTGACATACACCGTACCGTACATGTACATCATTAGCCATGTGTGTATAGTTGCTTAAATTGTAAAGGACCAAACTCCAGACAATTCATATCATGAAAAACAATTTAAAATTACCTTTCGTGACCATTTCTCTTCAAATACATGTTTTCGTCCCCAAGTCAAGATAAATTTAAAGTCTGTAGTAGTCAAATGAGTGCCCTATCATGAAAGATCAACCTTTAGTAATAATAATAATAAAAACGGTGCTTATAAATCGCTTTTACCAAAGTCTCTAAGCGCTTTAAAGTACCAATCACCAATCCTGTTTTGCTCTTGATGTAAGGGCTTCCATGTGGCTATAATGATTATACTCGATTCAAAATTTGAACTTCAAATGCTACTTCTACAAAAAGATATACCAGTACTGCAATTGTAATACATTCTAAATTAATAGTAAAGGTCTTGTTGAGTAGACTAGTTTAACACACACCTTACACACAGAACCCAAGTCCAATTTGGGTTCCATGGAATTATATACACTTTCAGATTTAGCGTTATCCATTATTTCTTTATACTCCTTAACTATTTACGTGTACAACGACAGGAATCCTTCCTGGGGTGGGAAGTAGGGTGTGAGGCCAACACCGCCAAAAATTTACATACAATCACCAACCATCGAACTGTGCCTTGGTGTGGTTTTGGAGTTCTACAAAATCGCTCCTCCATGACTAATATCAACTTTTAACCACAAAAATGGCATCCTCAGGTGAAAATTCCTCTAAATTGTCATTACTGATATTTTCAGGAATTTGTTGTCGTTGAATAGTTGGTGTACCAAGTACCAACAACAACAAATAAGAGTCCTACAGCAAAAATCCATCAAAATCTTAACCGTTTTTTAATTTTTTTTATGAGGTTCTAAAATTTCAGTGTATGTTAACCATATATTGTAAGAGCTGTCATGTTTTCTGGTAATAACAAACATTTCTGGTACTAATAAATATGAAACCTACAAACTAAAATGCTATCTGCCATTGAATAAAATGTATAGCAGTATAACATTAGTATGCATGTACAGTATTTCACTTTTGGTTGTGCATTTGGTTTTCGGAATATGATTTAAAAGTAAACAGACAATGTTTGTTGTTGCATATCAACGTCACATTTATTTCAAGAGATTAAAATGCCACACTAACCGATATAATCTAAACATGATTTTATCTTCTCAACTCAATTACCGGTAGTGTACTAACAACTATTTTTAATCCTCATTTTGATGGCAAGTCGGCATCAAATGTTAATGTATGCAATAGGGTGCTTTTTGTAGGCCAATATGTACTATATGATGCGCTTTTATTCATTCCATACGTTGCATGCTGGGTGAAAGTGCTAATTAGTGCGAATTATTTACCAATCAAAGCCTACAATCTCACACACAGGTACATTTGCATGTACAGTATCGCTCAAAAAAGGATCATACATACATACAGCGGAACCTCACTAAAAGAGATACTGTTATTTTGCCCCAATTGTTTTATTGTTTTTTTATTGGTCCTCTGATCAATCGCAAGTTTGCAATCTCCTATCTCTTATGGACATAGTTGGTATTGATATATATTGTCATACCTCTGAATGCTTTTGTATTATTTACAATTGCAAATGTATTAATGATCGTAATCTAGTGTTTACTACCGTGATGGTCATGATAATACTATGTACACTGTTGAAACATACAGAAATAGATAAAGAAAGAAAGAAAGTTCATTGACCCCAAGAAAGTTTGGTTCTACTTTTAATACTAGCTTTATCTTGTTAACGCTACTTGACATATAAAGTAACATTCTCTTTTACATGTAGGTGTTCTGACTCCCTACTACACTGTACATGTACGAAAATAAATTCATGTTCGGTCACAATATCATGTTGAACAATGTTAATGTTACTTTGATGTACTGGTCCATTTCCTTTAAAACAACACAAAAGACATTTAAACATACATGTACATGTACCATATATGAGAAAATAATGGATTTCCTTTTCTCTGTCTTCTTTTTGTTGCCCCCTCCCTAATACATACTGGTAATTAAATGGACATACATGATACATGTATTGTATATCATGTTTGGAGCCAGGAGGGTGATATGCTTTAACACCTGTAGAGGTTACAGATAAAGGTGAGTTCTGGTCATGCGATTGCATTGTGAAAGAAAAGGTGTGGAATGGATCAGAAAAAGTTGATCCTGTAGCATGTAAGTATTGGTGTGTACTGCAACTTCTGCAAGGTTCTGGAGTCATCAAAATCATAATAAATTTGGCCCAGTCTTGGTAAAGTAACAAGCACTGTACACAGAAAGATGTATATGGGACTACACAAATGGTGTCGGGGCTACTACATGTACACCTTGATTTCCTTATCTTTCTATGCTCATTACTCAGCCAGTATATATTTTCTTCCAAAATTGTTTGGCACATGTCATTTATTTGTTGTCCTGAACGTTCAGTGTAAGTTTCATTTGATTCTGTGAGAATTAATTTTCTTTTTTACCAGAACTAAAGTTTATCTTCATCTCCTTCCCACTCCGAACAGATGACATGTAAACAAACATCATACATCATATACGCATCCATATTATATTACATGATATTGTCTGTTTGTAGCCAGAAGGGTCATAAATCTGTGTCAAAGCATAATGCCCTTCTGTACATGAAGAATTAACGTTCTTCTGGCTCCAAACCATGGAAAAAATACACGGGGGCTTGGGGCAAATGAGCCCCCGAAATGCCCAAAAGAGCCCCCGAAAGTCTTAAAAGAGCCCCCAAATTTTGATAGAGTTCAATGCAAAACAAATTAAAGAGTGTTATTTTCATGCAAGCAAGCTTGAAAAGTAGCCCCCAAAATTTTTAAAGTAATTTTTTCCCTGCTCCAAACAGACGCTATAAAAGAATGATATATACCAGTTCCATAACTAGCATTTGAAAAAAATCAATATAATCATTGTTTACAATAAATACAGCATACCATCTGGCACCTTTTCTGCTACGACCCAGAAGTGTGTCTTACACACCTCTTACAATGGGACACGCCCTTTACAATGTTACAGTGAAAAAATACACGGGGGCTCGGGTGAATTAGCCCCCGAAATGCCCAAAATAGCCCCCAAAAATCAGAAAAGAGTCCCTGTAAATTTGCATAGAGTTCAATGCAAAACAAATTTTTGAATGTTATTTTCATGCAGGCAAGCTTGAAAAGTAGCCCCAGAAAAATAAATATTAATTTTTTTCCCTGCTTAGGCCTAACTCTGGGCCTAAACGATAAGAGATGAAACTCCTCTGGCTCCAAGCAGATGAAATTTTTTTATTTTGTATCCATAATTATTTGCAACCAGGAATCATACATGTAATATGTACCGGTAGCCTACATACATGTACATCTGTAGGCCTTTAGTCCCTAATTATTACATTATTCAAGCTTAAAGATAAAGACCAGTTATGGTCATGCAATTGCATTGTTAAAGAAACTTTGTGAAAGAAACTTTGTGGAATTGATCAGAAAAGGTTGATAATCTAGCACATACATGTAAGTATTGGTGTGTACTGCAAGGTTCTGGAATTAATCAAAATTTGGCCCAGTCTTGGTAAAGTTACAAGCACTGTACACCGAAAGATGTATATGGGACTACGTGACACATGCGTTATATCTATCAGGTCCAAATAGATATAATATTTTACCAAATATATCAATTAGTACATGTAGGCGGTTTCTCGGCAAAATGTGTATCATTGCGTATTTAGTCAAAACATATTCTTTCACATGATTGGTTATAAAAGCTTCCATTTCATTTTTTTGAGAGGGAGGCGTTTCAAAAACTGGTCTTTACCGTTAATGCTCGACCAAGCATTCACTTCAAAATCTCTACAAACTACATCATGTGTGACACAATACCTTTATATTCTGTCTTAACAGTACAGCAGTAGGCTTCCATTGCAATCATCTTCCCTTGAAAACAAGGCCATACAACCCTAGGTGCTCTCCTTTGTATACACATCTCCCCTGCAGTGCCGATCTGGTGATCTAATTTGGGTTTCTCTCGGAAAAACCAGCAGGGATGTGATGCTGTGGGACTCTGTTTCTTAGATCCATGATGATCATACCAATATTATTATAATTATATGTCAAATTCTGTTAGTGGCAACTTTGAAGTGGGGTCCTTATAGTTACTAATTATAGAGTCTATATTCCTGCTCTAATTTTGATAGATTTGATGAACAGGCCAATATAATTCCAATTGTAGTTCTTGTATTTCTTTTATTATTTTTTTATTAATTGATTGATTGATTTTTATCATTTTTTTATTATTGTTTTTATTATTGATTTATTTTGTATCTTTTAATTATTGTGAAATTGAGTGAAGCCCCATTTTTGTTTACAGAAGAACATCATACAACTTATATCTTTAAAATAATTTTGTTCATTATTGATCATTGGTTATACACATGTACTGGTATAAACAAAAGAACTGCATGTACCATGTATAAGCGCTTCCAATCTATACAAGCGAACCATAAAACAAAATATAATCTTAGTTTCCCTTTCCATTCAAGTACATTCCATAACCAGCCACAATAACAAATTAAAGGTTCTCTTTTATATTCATTATATAATAATACTCTTTTATAAAATGTACTGCAATACACATGCATGCCAGGCACATATTCCTCGCAGAAACAATGCAAAAGCTTCATTTGTCATTATGTATACATCATGTACTAGTAAAGGGCCATGGAAGACTTGCATTGAATGGGTGCTTTCAAGCATGTCCCCTTGTATTCACACAAAATAGGCTCAATTTAACAATTCCTTAAAGTGATCAATCTTAGTTCAAACATACCACAGCAGAATTATTTGATATTATGGCCTTGAAAATAACCATAAACGAACCGAGTTCTGTTCGATTCGACTCAATACATAAACACACCGCGCAAGCAAGTAGGGGAACGGGGAATTACTATAGTGTTCTACACACTGATTCCATTTATGCAGCCGGTGTATACAATAAGGGCTGCGGCCGCACCCGTTTCTCGCTATGCATACGCCCTACAGCTGCAAGTCGTGCGGTGTGTGTATGTTAGCGTTATATTCAAGCTGGCATTACACGGGCAAGGCTTGGGTTGGGCACGTACGACGAAGGGCTTGGCATGCGAAACACCGTCATCATATCCCTCAAAATCAAACAACGACAAAAAACACAGATAAAACTACCCATACAACTCACCATCTTCGTTGCATTTGGTGTAAGCACAGTACTTATTTCTCCCGATCACGTCCGCCCCCTGATCTCGCCTCTTTTCTTCTGCCGGGAGAATAGGGCGTAGTTTTTTCAGCGAGGTTTCCACGGAGCTAGAAGGTACGCACTCCATGATTGTATGTACAGTATTATTATTTCTTATCGAGAGATCCGTGCAGGCTTTTCGCGTTTGACAGTCGCCCACAATATGAGCTGCCACACCCTCTAAGAGCATCCGGGTTCTTGACTACAGGGAACCTCCCCGAGGTCAGACAGCTTTAATATCACCGCACCCTCTGAAAAGGGGGTAGGTCTGGGTATAATATATGTTCATTTGATAACATAATACTCTAAAGGTTTTTTGTTAATACGTTACACAACACCGCGTTTGATAATTTCTCGCACAGCTTAAATATTTACAATATTATGTAGGACATAATCCATGACTCGGACGATTAGCCTACATAACTGGTAAGGGCGGGGCGGGTGGGGTGGGGTGGGGCGGGTGGGGTTGGAATAAGAAAGGGTACGCGTGTATAGTGCCTGAACATGCCAACAGTCCTGAGAAATGTCTGAAGCAGAAATATGCTCGTTGCTCGTCATATATCACTCAGCAGCATAACATTGAGCTATAATTAATCAATATTGTATTCAATTTCATATCTAAATTTCTTATCTAACTTGATAAAGAATCTTGCAAATGCTTAGGATAAGAGATAGCGAGAGAGTTGAAGGATAAGAATCTCAGAAAGACAGAGACAGGACCCCTCCCCCCCCCCCCCCGTTTTCTCTATCACGCTCTCTCTCTCTCTCTCTCTCTCTCTCTCTCTCTCTCTCTCTCTCTCTCTCTCTCTATCTCTTTGAGGCAGATTGAGGCAGGCTGTATGATCATTGCCATAAAATTAATGCACGTCACTCTTCATCCGACGAGGAATAAAATAGTTTGGAATATAAGCCAACTTGCATGAAAGTATTTAAAAGGTCAAGATATAGTGTACACAAACACCCACCTCGAACCTGACATTTACATTTTCTAAACGGGTTCTCATTTCCCTTTAATTCAGTTAAATAAAATCACTTGGAAGTGAAAGACCGCATGTATATTGTTTCGTTCGTCAATTTTTCTAATGATCAGCTATTCTATTTAATGCCCCACTGAGGCATTATCAGAGAGGCGAAATGTAGGCTTATAATTAAGCTGGCGATACTGATGGGGGCATATACCTCCTGTGGCCCCTTGTAGCTACACCACAGGCAAAGAATAATTTCCCTAAAATTTCAAGCCCAATTTGCTACCAAAAGTACTATTTCTTCGCTTAATTAATCCCTTATCCGGAATTGCAAACAAGGGGAGGGGTGGGGTTGCATACGCCGCCCTATAAATTACTGAATATGCCACAGATAGAAATCAGCAAAGTTGAAGCGGGAAGTCGGATATTGCGGGTCATACAATCAATGTTCACCGGAATCAGACACACAGGGTGTAAAGGCTAAGGGGCGTTGCCTCAGCATTGAGGCATATAGTGTGATAATTGAGGGCGTGATCCAGGGTAGGGTAGTATTATAGTGGCACCCTCCCCCCCCCCCCGAATATGATATACAATTATAACAAGTTAAAAAGAAAGCAAAGCAACAAACAAATAAACTAAACGCAGCAAAGACGATCACTGTAATTATTTTTAAATGTTATTCTGTTATTGATCGTGAAAACATGAATTCAAATTCAAGTCAACTCAAATCAAAGAAAATTAGTGCTGTAATTGTAAGGGGCGTTTCCGCATCATTGCAAATGGGTTTATGGATGTCGAATAACGTTTGCGGTTAACATTCCAACCGGCAAAACAGCAATTTTTTCTGACAAAAAGGGTTCCTAGAACGAATGATATCCGATAATTATGAATCGTCGACAGAAATTTCGAATACTTATAGGCAGTAGGGGTAACGCCCCTTGTATTATAGTGATGTGCCTTTATAGTGGCTAAGGCGCTCGACTAAAATAAATTTGGAGGAAGTAAGCTTCATAATCTTGACAAATCATTGGGATGAATGTTATGAAGAAGGCAAGAGATGAGAAATTATTTCTCATCATGCCTTCTTCATAATGGTATTATTACAAGAATAATAACATTTAGAAAAAGAGGAAATCAAGAAAACAGTTGCCCGGAACGAAATAAGGGATATTTTGCCCTCACGGTTCCCCCACTCATTGTTTCTATTTTTAGAGAAATTCATCTTTTTGAACTAACTAGGTATCCCAAAAATAGGAAGAGAGAGAGAGGGAGAGTAAGAAACAGACAGACAGACAGACAGACAGACAGACAGCGAGAGAGAGAGGGAGAGAGAGAGAGAGAGAGAGAGAGGAGACGATGTGGTTACCGAGTTGGCGATGGACAATGAGTCAAGATAATCAAAACTTCGGACATCACACGCCAGAATTATTTTGAATCACTTATTTGAAGGAAGTGCGCGAATTTGTTTACTTTCCAACACTTATTATCAGCGCTCGTAAGTTGAACCCAACCTGAATAAATACGATTAAAATCACTATTACACAACAGTAACAATAAATGGGGCGTAAACAACAATAGGAATGATATTATGTCTAAATTGGAACCCACACACATCAACTGGTTTAACAAGTCATTGCCAGTCGACATGCTCTGATTTCTACGGTTCATTTAATATTCCCATTAACATGATCAATGTGGTCTTTTTCACGATAAATTTATTAATGAAAAACAACACATTTCTCGCTGCTCGTGGCCCCAATGAAAAAAATCTATTCTAGTGGGAATGTTTATGGTTTTAAGAAATTAGGTCTCCTCAGTAATCATCACCTGCAACCGAATCAGAGAAAAAGAGGGGGAGAGAGAGAGAGTGAGAGAGAGAGAGAGAGAGAGAGAGGATGGAACTAAAGTAGACAGAAAGGATAAAAGAGCGTTAAGAGCACCCCCCCCCCCACATTTAAACTCCTTTATGTCCATATAATTTAGGCTATGATCATTTTGTGTCCTCTAAACAATTTATCTTTAGATTAATATTAATCATCTATGTAAAGAGATCATCTATTACTCTGCTAAATGCATGTTTAATTGAAGCATATAATATACATATTTATATTTATAATAATTAAAACAGTTGAAATTAAAATCTCTAAGAGTTCAATTCTTCGCTATTACCAGATTCAATTTATTTTGTCAGATAGTGAATTATTCATTCAACTAATTATTATCTATTTATTTATTTATTTATTTATTTGCTTCAGTGCTTTATAAAACAAGGACATCACATAATAAAAAGCGATGTCGATCATTATAAAATATGTGCGTAACACTTTTCACACAACAATAATCCAATTCCAAATTTTCATAATTATGTTTGTTGGGAGGATACTAATTCATTCAAGTCAATTCTACTTCACCTAGTTCCTGGTTTGCAAGGACTATTTTTCATCTCGTTGAAATGCATTTTCTTATCCATTTTGGCTACGCAAAAACTGCAGTCCGTGTGAATCCATTGATGCCCGATCGCATTATTTTGTTCGAAACAACGTCCAACCTGTCAAAATACAACATCGAAACTACGATGTATAGGGAAGGCGGGAAAACGAGAGCAAAGTACCTTCCCCGCTCCACCCCACCACATTTTGGGTCAAGTACGTATAAACGGTATTGTTATTAACACAATATGCATCGATTCGTACGAAAATACAGTGCCTTTCAGATACTGTATAAGGCAATGAACCATGTAGTTTGTCTGAAAAGCGTACTTTTCTCACATTTTGGTGAAAGAAAAAAAAAGATACATGATTTATACACAAAGCTGGTGGGAAGGGGTAAGTTCATTCTTATGGAAACACGACAGAGGAGGTGGAAAAAGTACACCCTTCTAAACAGGAAAGTCAGAAAAGAAACATGTTTAAGGTCGGAAAGGTGTGGTATTATTCGAATGATACAATATTTCAAATGTTTCATTTATTTTAAGGAGACTGTGAAGTAGATGAATAATTTCCGAACATTACTATTATAATTATTATTATTATTCTATATTATTATCATTATTATAGTGGTATTCATCATCATCATCATTATCATTTAAGAAACGAAAGATAATATTATTATAACCTCTCTCATATAATATATATAATTTCTTCCAAAACCATGCAAGGCAGTGGCGGATCTAGGAATGGGACAGAGATAGGGGCAGAACTAAGTGTCAGCATTAACAAGTACTGTACTGACTCTACCAAAATATTGAAAACAGAGAAAGAAAGAAACAAATAACAATCGCAGGTATGGTCTCCTCCCTCCCCGTTATTCGGCTACGAGAAATGTTAAAACGGATGACATTTGGGTGTGACAGAAAGGGGGTGAAGCCCTTCAAGTTCGTTGCCCTTTGTTGGTTTTAACGTCACTGTCTTCCTAACTGATTGTGAATTCACAGATTTGTACTGAGATAAGAATTGGTCATTCACATCGATATCCATCACGATAAGAAATATTAATTTTCTCGACCTAATGTTGTGGGACCGTACGTGTTATTCATAAAGCATTCCGAGAAAAAATTATGGAAGTCGTACAATTTTTGACGGTTTTTAATAAATGGATATACAGAATAAAATGTTCTCAAATTGTATATTCACAGAAAGGAGGAGGGTGTGTGTTCATTTGTGTGGAAGATAGAAAGAAGGGCAAAGGGAATATGAAGACAGGGAGGTATGAATGAAGAAGAGAGAGAGAAAAAGAGAGAGAGAGATCGAGAGAGAGAGAGAGAGAGATAGAAAGAGAGAGAGAGAAAGGGAGAGAGAGAGAAAGAGAGAGAGAGAGATATTTCGAGAGAGAGAGAGGGAGAGAAAGGGGGATGGGAGATGAATAAATGAAGAAGAGGAGAACGAGAAGAAATTAAGAAATATCTGGCTACCCCTCCAGCAAAACTCCCCAATTCAAAACTATTCTCTCTTCTTAATTGACCCTTTGTTTATTAAAGAGTTCATTCCCTCCGAGTTTTGTTGATGTTATTGTTATTTTTCGTTTGTGTGTTTACCGATGCACGTTGCTGTCTGAATGTATAAACCTACAGTAAATATCAGTTTAATGATTTTGTTTATAACTATATCAATGAAAGCTGAATATTTCTGCGTCTCAATTTTTAAACGTATATAGGCCTAACCTTTACAAAGGCTGTTTATATTATCATTACACCTCTCCAATAGCTATATTTGCTTAAAAGAAACAGATCACTTAAAAGTAAATGACCGTCGTTTAAAACTTTATTTCGTGTGCAGGAAACTGAGCTACTTTTATAAACATTTGAAGCAAATTTTATATCCATAATTTATGATTGATTTTTTTCCCATTAAAAAATTAAAAAATAGATAAATACTGGATAGGTTTTCGAGGGATGATGATTAGAAATAATTGTTTTCATACCTGTGACCTCACATTTTTGTACCTATCATTATGAAATTATTTAAATTCCCATTTATAGATGAGTGCTTTATTGCCATTAGCGAATATTATAATCACTTTGCAAAACGCCCCCCTCATAAAGTAAAGGGGCGGTGCCCATATAGGCACTGGCCATGAAGAGGTAGGTCTGACTTATGTGTTTGATGATTATGTTTAAATTCCATCAATAATTGGAACGGATATAGTCTATTTTATTTACATTTTCGCTTTTTATTTAGAAAAAGGACCATCTTAAAGGCATCTTAAAGGCAACTATCCCTTAATATAAACTTTGTTGACTTTTGAAGGATTTAGAACACAAGATGTTTAACTAACTTAGTTTTGTGTCTTATAAAAGCGGTTCTGTTATACTGACACGATGTCAAAAATAAACATCTATATCCCAATTTTTCTTTGTATGTTATTATATTTATATCTAGGCCTATATTTTATTTTGTTAGTTTGTTTTTAAGTTTTAACTTTCTGGACCTTTTCTTGTCCTGAATCTGGCCGATTAAATTTAACTACGTAAATCCTCCTCTTTACCCGTCCGAAGCAAGCCAAATATGGCTTGGTTCACGAATTCTACCAGGGCAGTTTGTCGCAACATAGCGTATATCATTTTGTTTTGTAGTTGCCCAACAAAACAGTATTCGCCATATTGTAAAGAACTAGAAATGAGTTGGCCAAACTCTGAATGAAGATGGCTCTGATTCGTACATCCAACTCCGGATTTGTTCTTTCTCCCGGGCTTACAAATTCGGGGATCAAGCCATATTTTATTTGGCTTGCAGCAGGTTAGGGGATCGAGATTGAGATCAGTGCCCTCCGACCCCCAACAAAAAAGACTAACTGATAACAATGTGATAGTCTATGATCTGCTTGTCATTGAATTATATGATTTAAGCCTAAAGCATATAAAGAAACAGAGAAAGATTCTAAACGATTTAATTCACCTTTTTTAAAAGTTACGCACTGAACCACTATCATAGTGGTTCAGTGCGTAACTTTTACATAATGTAGTTTTAGAGTTCAATGAAGTTATGTTTTGCTAAATTGATAGTGCGCCCTCTTTTACATTCACATAGCACTGATTAGCAACAACCGCATACAGGCTAGTTTGTATATATCTTTAATAATTGAAGACTCCTAAACAATGTGATATATCAAATACATGTTGATTTTTAGTCGTAGCACACTGTTATCGGTTTTCGTTATCCGCTGGCGGGGACTGGGCCTTAGTTTTTAATTAATAATGTTTTCAATATCATTCTAAGATAATACTCTGTTCTAGCTTTCGCTCAAATCTCGCCATGTATTGTCATAATTATAATTATGTAGGCCTATAGTACCATTTCTATTTTTACAGCTCAGTTATATGCCAGCTATATCAAGCAATTCGTTAATGAATGTTTCCAAACTCTGTACACTAAATTCCTTTTCTTTCCCATTCTTCGTCTTTTCTGTTCTGTCGTTCTTTTTTGTTTTGTTAGTATCGATCTTTAAGTCTACGCTTTTAGCCAGGATTTACGCCTTTAATCTTCCTTGCTTAAAAACTGTTTAAAAGACTGTTTATGTCATTATTTATGTACAAATTTATCCATTTATTATTTTTCTAATAAGAGGAAAAGATATATAAGAAAATGAAATTTTACTTTCAAAAGAATACTTTGAATTGAATAGATAGAGGGCAGTATTTATATTTCTGAAAGTGGGTTTCATGTTATACTGAAATAATTTGACAAGAAAATAGTATAAAGATGAAAAAGAAAGAAAGTGAGAAAGATACAAGGGAAGTATGGGCAAAATAATTTTTAAAGTAACATATCAACCGTAACTAAATGAAAACACTGCTGGTGTATTTTCATGTGTACTAACATTGTTTTATTGTGCAGTATACATGCGATGTCAATAGTATACGGAAATGGTTGTTTTGATGAAAAATTACAAAGAAAAAATCTCTCTGGCATGAGAGAGAGAGGCAGTGAGAGGGAGAGAGAGAGAGAGAGAGAGAGAGAGAGAGAGAGAGAGAGAGAGGGAGGGAGGGAGATGGAGAGAGAGGGAGAGAGAGAGGGGAGGGAGAGAGAGAGAGAGAGAGAGAGAGAGAGAGAGAGAGAGAGAGAGAGAGAGAGCGAGAGAGAGAGAGACAGCCGGAGAGCTGAGTGAGATATCGATCCATCGAGATGATGGAGGAGTCTTTGTAATAATAATGATAATCATACAAATCGGTACTTATAAAGCGGTTACCACTAAAGTCTCTAAGCCATAACAAACAAAATACAATGATAAACAATTACATATTAATCAAAACACAAATAAACATACAAATTACAATACATATGAAATATACATCAATGTGAACAGAGTAAGTTAATCATCAAAAGCAATTTTGAATAAATGTGTCTTAAGACAAGCTGACAGTCTGACTCGGTATTGCATACATGACTGTGTAGGATGGTGTAGGATATATATTTGTAACTCTTGCGAGAAAAATAAATAAACGTAAGTTGTAAAGTAAATAAAAAGAAACGAATATGAAACAAATATAATGCCACAACTAAGATCAAGTAATACTGACTACTAAAAATATAATTGCGATTATACCAGAAGTCTACGAAAATAGGAACAAAAAGACATTTTATGTGCCGGTGATTTACAAATGCCCTATGTCGGCCTCATGCTTTGTAAATCCGATACAAAAAGATGTTATTGTTTTATTTAGATAAAGAATATCTATCATCGTTTTAATGAATGATTATGTACTCAATCTAGTATTTGAAAACATACTCTGTATACGAATAAAGGTATGTGCATATATATTTATATAATATGTAATTATGTATTCACAATATGTAATATATACATTTTTTTCTCTTAAACATTAAAAACGTTTTTTTAATTCTTTGAGAATTCTTCTCCCATTACCAGGACCCAAGGTTATCTTTATTATATCGATGATATTTTCTTAGCACAGTTACATCATAATGTGCGACAAATAGTTGAACATAAATGCAAGAAATGTATAAACAGTAAAATAATATACGTGACTTAAAATGATTTTCTTATACATTTACCGATTTTTTGTAATATAACTATTAATCTAGGCCATATCCTTGTCCGACGATATGCCATCGTTCGTAATATTGAAGTCATTGAGCAGACAAGCGGACTCTGTATTGATATAGCGATCTTCACTGTCCGTCCGTGGTCTATGAACCGAAGTCGCACCCGCGCTCGTCGACGACTTTTCAACCGACGGCAAGTCCGTCAACGACAGCGAAAAATCGCGGAAGGTATGCAGGAGAAAGATCCCCACTATGATGACGCCGAAACCATCGAGGACAGCGATGATGTCGGTGGCCGTCATCGCACGCCAGTCTTCGAAGAGGAGTGACGACGCGATGAGGACACTAGCGGTGAAGAAGACGTAGTAGATGGGCGTGATGACGGCGGTGTTGAAGATGTCGAGGGATTTGTTGAGGAAGTGCATCTGGATGGTGATGAAGACAACCATGAGAAGGATCAGGATCCACGTTAAAGGATCAACGAAGGTGTTGGTGCCATCGAAGAGCTGGACGAACGCGATGCCGACGCCCTTGCTGGCCATGACGGTGAGGGAACCCATCAGGGAACAGACAAGGACGTAGACGAGGATGTTGGTGTGACCCCAGCGAGGTCCGATGGCGAAGACGAGGGCGAGACAGCTGGCTGCTACCAAGCAGACATAGATTACGAAGGCTGGGATTAAAGGGAAGAGAGAAAGGTAACAAAACAAGTAAGGTCGATTTACGCTATCTATCTTGCCAGACCCCCTCCCCCGCCTTCATAAACCGAATGCCAGGTTTCCAATTTTCTTATATTCTCCCTTTTTTTAATTTAGCAAGACGATCTACTGGACCTAGGTGCTTAGGTGAATGGCTCTTCTCTCGTCTTTGGGCATTCCAGCGCATTATCTCCTCAGATATAGACTTGAGCCATGATAATAGCATTTAAGCACCTATAAATAATTATTATTGGTAAATAGATACGACGCTGGCGCAAGTAAAGTGTATTATGTTATTATCAATACACTCAGCAGATAAAGTACTATGATGTTTTCTTGTATTTTCATGAGTATCAAACTTTTGTCATCAAATGATCGTGTGGCACGTTATTGTTATTATGATTACGATTATTATCATTTTTTCTTGGGGGGGGGGGTTAAAACTGCCTGTGCAGCCCACTCTTTGAAACCTATATCAACACCAAATAATGCCTTCTTAAGTGTGATTTGTGGGGAATGTGCCCTCTGACAAAATCCGGGATCCGCCTCTGATTCGTCGACCTCTCAGTCTTCTCTATACCTCTCTGATACCTCAGTCACACCTCTGAACCAACTCTATCTCTTTTTGGACATTAATTTTGGGGTCATGTAATTTCTGGATCGGCCCGTAGTCGGATTGTTGTCGGTCTGAAGTCGGTTTGTAATCGGTGTATAGTCGGTGTGTAGTCGTAGTGCTGCTGTTGTGTAGTCGATGTGGTCTCAGTTTGTAGTCGGTGCATGGTAGTCGGTGTGTAATCGGTCTGTTGTCTGCTGTCGGTCCCATCGGTGTAAATCGGGTATATCTTACATGGTGATCGTAATCTTGTCGCTAGCCAGCCTAGAGTATGGAAGGCCTCGTCGGCAGGTGTATGCAGGACGATTATGATAGACCCCATGATACAGAGGATACAGCCGAGCTTCCCAAGAAGGTTTAGGGTCTCGTTTAAAACGTATGATGATAGCACGGCTCTGAAACAAAATTGATAAATAAATGAAATGAAAGAAAGAAATGTTTCGATGAATAACTAAATGAATGAGTGATAAATAAATAGATAGATAGAAAGATAGATAAAGATATATATACATTTTTTAAAACCAATCAGCTGTTCCAAAACATGCAATTTTCCAATATGGGTTCTGTTGGAACCACGTTCCAATTCATAGCGTGCGACCCCCACCCCCCCCCCCCAGCGGGCCCTTAATGTTATTAAACTTTTATACCTAGGGCATAATCTTAATGCTAATTCCCCATTATAGCATGCATGAATTATCGTTGTATTAAATCTCTCCTTATTGTTAATTTCTCCATCATGACTTGACTTAACTTAAGCCCATGCCCTTATCCTCTGAAATAACCCCCCCCCCCCCCTCCCCTCTTTCCTGGGCTACCTCCCCAAACTTACGAGACAATGACGCTGAGGGCGCCCAACGGAGTGACAAGAGTGGCTGGAGCGAAGGCATAGGCCATGAAGTTACACAGTTCACCAAGTCCCACTTTGACGAAGAGAAATGAATTACAGGACAGATCGTTTAGACAAGTTGTAAAATAATATTAAAGTCGGAATGAAAAATAACAATAATGACTTCTGACTTTAAATCTTTCAAGCAAAGTCTTAAGATGACAAAGATCTTGGTATCAGAGAATGATAATGTACTTCTTTTCACAAATATACTGAACACGATATGTAACTAAAGGTTAATCTACTTACTAGTAGTTTAACATTTCACATTATTTTCAAATGTCAATGATAAAGTTCGAAAATTAAAAAACTACAAAACTGTAAAATGAGACACACCCAAAACACTTACATAATAAGAACCCCGCCCACCAGAGCCACTCCCTGAGGTAGGCGTGTCCTCCGTCACCTGTATAAGCGGGAAACAAAATCGAAATGTAATTAAGTGAATACTTAGATCTGACTCATTCGCATACATGTACGCGGTGCGCTTTATTCCAAGAACATTCAGGGATTCATGTCGTGATCTTGAGTTGAGAAATTAACTCAAGGGTAATATTTATATCCCCATGTGTGCATCCCATAGAAATCATGTGTGGATTACGTAATATCTAATTTTACTTGGTAATGGACAAGACTATTGAAAATGCCTTGTGTTGATCGATACCACGGAATTCTTTACTCAACACAGTATTTTGCACTATTCATTTCCCTCTCACTTTGATTTACCACTCTTAAAGACTGCGCACGTCGCGCGCTGACGTATTCATCTACGTCAGCAAATACCCCCCCCCCCCCCCCCAGCGTATACCACAACATGAATAATGCCGACTGCACATGAAGCGTCATATGCTGACGGAAGGCTGGGCGTCAGTAATCGGATTACTGATAGCACTGACATATAGGTATTCCATGTGCTGTAGCGGATGACGTGTTTGAATATGTTCGAACATGTTGCGCTGACTTTTTGACGGAACTCCATTAGGCCTATAAACAAAAGATGTTGTATTGCCCTTTGCGACCTTTTAAAAAAAAAAAAACCTTTTGTAGAGAAAAAAATATTAAAGCATTCGAAACTGAAAAAATATCAGCCCAAAGAGGGAGAATACAAAAAGTTATACAAAAAAATATATATATTTCCGACCGACCGACCCGTGTTTTGACACCTAAAGGGCAATACAACATCTTTTTTTAGGCCTTATTATGACGTTGACGTTGAGTCGAGTCATAATCACAAGAAGTCATAAGTGGATCCTAGTCAATCGAGAGGATCGACTCTCGAGTCCCTTGTCGGGTCGAGTCAAGGGAGAGAGAGGGGGGTGGCGAGGGGAGGAAGAGTGGGAGAGAGAGAGAGAGAGAGAGAGAGAGAGAGAGAGGGGGAGGGGGGATGTCGATTCCCGTGTCCCGAGGGGTCCCGAGTTCCGAATCAAGTCGACTAGTTTCTGATTCGAGATACTACAAGATTGAAACTTGACCAAACCGTCTCTATACCTGCCCTGACTGCATGCGCTGATATCTTGATCAAAGCTTGCTTCTTGATGACGAAGCTTGACCCGATAAACCCGCTTGAGCAGATGGCAAGGGTCAGACCAATGTAAAAATCTTCTGAAGTCATGGTTTCTTCACTAATGTCACAGGCCATGGTGCTGTTCGACGTTGACATAAAGGAGGGCGTGATGGTCGTCATGGACGTCGCCTGGGTCGAGATCGCCTGTTGAAGCTCATGCCATACTGCTCCGGTGATATTTTTGTGCGGTTCATCTACATTATGGTTTTGAAAGGAGAGACAATAAAACGTTTAAAGTATTGTTATGAAATATTTACATGACCAATACCTAACACGATCGCAAGGTATTTCGAAAAATCAACCTTTTAAGGTAATTCAATTCAATTAAAGATAATTATAGCCAATATATACCAGTATTTAAAACTGTAAAAATAATGCACTGTGGCGTTTATTTATACCGACCTGAATGATTAAACCGAATGCAACATGGCCCTAATTTTTAAAAGGTGGACAATTTGAAGTAAGATTCAACGAAATAGCATTTACCACCCCCCCCCCCCCGTTTCTTGTATTTCAAGAGTTTTGATCAAACTCACAATATAAACACCCTACCTACACACAAAATATTGACAAACTAATCACTTTCGAATAAGCCTTACCAGGTTCGAAAAAAATAAACATATTTTTGGGGGTAAATACTGGTATACCAGCATAAATCATGATAGCTATTAAGTCGCCTTATAATGTTTCAAGGATCTTCAATGTCATGTTCCACCAATCCACCATTATAATAATGTATACGACGTGCAGAATGATGTTCAAAAGCGTACATGCACGACAGGGCTAAATAGCCCACCAGACAGCCGATGAGACTGACAATGTGGTGCTGGTGGTGGTGGTTATTTTTTACCTGACTGCTAAGAAAGCATAAATGCTTGTAAGCGGTCTCGTGGACCTCATGACAATTTTATGGAAGGTGAACTAAACTGACAGCACACGAGATGGACAATAACGTCCGTGTTTTTTAATGTCATGGTTTTAGCACTGATCTGACAAGGACTGAGAAGAACCAGTACCCTTAAAGGGAATTAGTAACTTTACCTCGGATTTTAAACAAACTCTTGGATGTAGACCTTTAGGTTAATCAGGAATCAAGGAGTGAGTCTGCACGATTTGTTTGACTATAATCATTATGCAATATATGCGAAAAACGCCATTTTGTTTGTTATTGACATCACAGTTGGGGGCTTCACAGATAGAATAATGTTATCTAATTGTTAGAACATCTGGCTTGTCTGGATCTACGTCATATAGTTACTATATCAAAAGAATGTTCTCACTCGCGTCTGCTGAGAGCCAGAAGGGCGTTTTCAATCACACAGGCAAAACCGACACAAACCGAAAACAGACCAAACAAATACTTTCAAAAGAATGTTCACACTCGCGTCCGTTGAGAGACAAAAGGGCGTTAATATTTCAATCACACAGACAAAACCGACATAAACCGAAAACAGACCAAACAAAGACTTTCACAAGAATGTTCACACTCGCGTCTGCTGAGAGGCAGAAGGGCGTTAATATTTCAATCACACAGACAAAACCGACATAAACCGAAAACAGACCAAGCAAAGACTTTCACAAGAATGTTCACACTCGCGTCTGCTGAGAAGCAGAAGGGCGTTATTGAAATGGTGGTAAAGGTGGTGATGGTGTGGGAATTATTGATTATAGGAATGATACACGAGAGGAACTTTAACCCAGTCTGCTGAAAGGCATGCAACAGGATATTAAACCCTCTATTATCGTTTTTGTTTAAAGTTTGTTTTAATCATTGTATACAGAGTTAACACCTAAGTATAGTTTTATAAGGTTAGCGGCCTTATAGCTCTCAGTAGACGCTCATACCCAAATACATATTGTATAAAGTATACAGTGATTTAGCGCTGGAGCAAAGCATATTATATGCCTCCCCCGAATAGCAGATAGGACTGAGAGAGAGAGAGAGAGAGAGAGAGAGAGAGAGAGAGGGAGGGGGGGGGGGGGGGGGGGGGAGAGAGAGAGAGAGAGAGAGAGAGGGGGGGGGTAGATAATAAGTTCATCCAATAAGTCATCACCCCCCCCCCCCCCCCCCCGCCCTAAGACTAGACCCATACTGTCTTCATCAAATAATATAAGCAATATGAACTTTGCCTATACGACAAAACATTTTTTCTACAATATATTTCGTTTTAATAATCCAATCATTTAGATGCATTACCCATTTTTTACGATAAGAGCCCCTGCACAGACAATGGCCCTACTTTTATTCGCGATTTGAAGACCATTATACATTATAGTTATAACGTTCCATACCCTCTATTATATGCCCTGATGACTGAAAGGCATCAGTCATTATAATAACAAAATCTCGTACTGATCTATTATGTACGTCTTCACTCTCAAGTAATTAGATGATGAAAGGTAGAAAATACGATCTGAAGCCATATTATTATGATCAACAGTTGCTGTCGCAGATGTCCATGGAAATCGATAAAACAACGGAACCAATGTAAACGACTAAATGCCATGCTAATGACATACACGCTTTGTTTAGTTCTTTGTTATTAAAAAGAATCTATTTTTCTATTGCGTCATCCAAACATTTGATTTGATTTGATTTGATTTCTGTATTTTTACAAATATAATATAACTGAATAACAAAGAACATAAATGTAAGGTATAATACAACATACAAACAATAATTTCTTCATGTCAAAATATTTTTTTACATAATATAAATATGTACATAATAATAATAAAGAAACTTGATCCACTATTTTTCCTAAAAATTAAAGAAATACTGGGTAATTCAGATTTTCCTCTTTTATAAATCAATGCTTTAAAATTAATTTATTTTGGGGAAATTCTGGGTAATACGACAGCATATTGATGGGCCTCCCTAAATGGCTGGTATAGGCTTATGTTTCCTGCAAGAAATTTTAGATGATTTATAGACAAAACCATGTCTATTTCGTTACGCGTGAGATTTATTTATATGAAATATTCCTTCTTACCACTTTCTGCCACAGGTGACATGTCGGTATTCTCTTGCCTGCTCGTTCGATGGTCCACTAATGTTCCACTATACTTCTCTCTTGTTTACATACAATGAATGAGAGTGTAATAGTACTGGCATGCTCATCAGGAGAACTATATATTGACGAGTCAGCCTATATAATGAGCATGCGTGTATATATACAGCATCATGCCTGTAGAACATGCAGGCAGGCCAGGCACGGTGGTGCGAGCAAATAAGTTTAATAATGTTCTAAGGTTTCACCTCGATGCATTTTTATCTCAGACGAATATTATAATACTGCATTGTATATGTAGGCCTACTCAGTGAGAGAAAACGAAATAGTCAAACGCAGGCGCGTATGCAGGGGGGGGGGGGTGTTTTGGGTTAACCCCCCCCCTCATTTAAAAAAAAAATGAATACTCCTCACTCCTTACCCCCCCCCCCCCCCACCCCCCTCCCCTCCCCACTAAGCGAAATATCGGACGGCGCGATTTTCACATTTGCGGGGCCAACAAAAAAAAAAAAAATTGTTGCTCACTACCCAAAGGAATGATGAGTAGGAAGTTAGGAACATTTTTTTTTTTTTTTAATTGCATTATGTTTATTATCAAAGTAATTACACAGTAAATGGGTATTTTCTTTCGAATATGTCTGTCGTCCTGCAGTGATTTTGATTAGGCAACAGGATATTCCCGCTCTACAAATTCACGGATTTAAATAGATTTTCAATTTTTGATTAGAAAGGATTGAATCGGAATCGCATACCATTGAACACCAGCATATCCCAGTCCCCATGTCAGCCCCTTAGTCACAAAAAGTGTCCCGTCCTTTACTGGTCGAAAGTGAAATACTTCAGTTAAATACTGCATTTTATTGATAGTAATACATGTACGTCGTTCTTGGAATTACTTTTTTAAAATAAATTATTTTCTGTAAAAAAGACTTTCAAAAGGAATTTTACAAAGACCTAATCATGCCCTATTATGTTTCACTTTCCGACATAGATTTAGATCTATATGAGCTTATCAATTGTCACGTATTGTCATTATAAAATAATAAAATACACCAATTATTATCCCCAAATGTCAGAAATATCCTGTGTAGCCAATTTTTTTTTTTAAACACCCATTTTTCCTTCAAATTTACTCTTCTCAGTCACTTAACTTTGTTAAAAGTTTGAGGGCGCTTTAGAAATTACAGAAAGGCAAAACGTGATCGGGAGTCTAATATATTTTACGAGTTGAAATAGTCTCACAGCGAAGATGTTCAAAAAGTGAGTAAATTCGCATTACTTTTCTTTAGTATTCTTTCCCCCTTTTATCAATGTAATACTGTAATGATTGCAAATATGCAATATGTCTCCTAACATGCATTAGTTAGCTTGCTACGGCAATGGCCATTGCCCTATGGTAGATCTGGTATCTCAACGGAGCGACGGAGCATTCTGCCCCGGTTCTCTAGGCATAGAGCTCGGGCAATTTACGTCCAAATATCAGTGACCAATGCGATGGCAAAGGCATGAATGATGACTGCGTACCTATAAACACTTGACCAGGATTTTTTTTCATTCGTCTGTATTGCCTAGACCCTAGTTTCTAATTATTCATTTTGTTTTAAACTTTTAAATTGTAGGTCTAGACCTAAGTGTGCCAAATAAATCTCATCAAAATTCAACAACCTGACAAAATGTAATTTTCACAAAACGGACAAAGGGTGTCCATGTCATTATTAGTAGGGGCGCTGGTCTGAGAATAGGGATCGTCTGCATAAACGAAGATCATCTTCGTAAACGTGGACAGAGGCGTCCAATAAAGGATCTTCCGCATTTTAGTACTATTTTTTTTTTTTTACCATAGTCTAGACACAACTTGTGAATGTAACCCTATATTCCCTTTCTTCTCTCACAGGTTTGTTGCGAAAGAAAATGTGTCTGGCGTGACGCAGATGAAGTCCTCTGCCATTCGTGGGGTTCGAGCAAAGCTAATTGAAGATTATCCGGGATTAGAAGAATTTCAAGATGTAATTCTACCAAAGAAGGAGTCCTATAACCTTGTCAAATGGTAAATGAATATTTTATTAATAACTGCCTATTTCAATGTTTTCTCTAGTTTCATTCATTTGCAATGCATGAAAGGGGCTATGAATCATAAGTGAGTCTAAAGATTATCTTAAAATCAAACCCTAGAGAAATATTTCTAGCATAAATGTATTTAGAGAGAATATGTGCATTGCTTGTCTTGATCAACTGAATGTCACTGGAAGAAACGGAGCAGGCAATTGTACTGTGCCAAGGATCCTCATTTAGGCAAGTGTATGGCACAGGTTACCAACTGGTGTACATTGTATGTGGGCATACTGTCAACCTAAATCTGTCCAGTATAACGTCAATGATAATTTAGATAATCAATCAATTCACTTATTATGTAATTTACAGCATCTTCTTCCTGCAGACTGTCACATCTCTGCCTCAATATCATTGTTTCTCTTTCTATCCTTTCTGTCTTGTATCTCCTGTCTGTTTCTGTCTGTGTGTCTCTCCTTCATATTATTGTATGACTACTTATGTAAGAATTTTTTTTTGGGTGATTTTACTTTGTAAACTCCATGCAATTCAGCCCTTAGGCTACCATGGGGATTTTTCAATAAATACCATTTCAATTACAATAACAATTTGCTGCACATGGATGGCATCAGAGTTAGACAAAGCCCACATTTGCACGTCTGCAGTAGTTCTTCAATGTATACCAAAGCTATGTTTGTGATTCCATGCACCTGCCTCTTTCTTACAATATAATTTTCTTTGAACTTTATCTGATTTCCCCTGCAAAGCCATGAGAGGATAGAGATCATAGCAATCGGAGGGGAACCGGTTTTCTTCAGACAACGGGATGGACCCTACATGCCTACTTTGAGGTTATTACATAAATGTAAGTTTACCTGGGTTCAACAGCACAAAAAGCAAGATTAGGGGGGGGGGGTGTCCGGATTACTTAACAAAAATGAATCCACTACTTTTGCGTTTGGATTTTAAAAATATACTTCTGATGTATAATATTGTCTAACATAACTTTTAAAATGTTTATGAAATATTGTGTGTAAACTTCATCAAATTATCGTTTAAAATCACAAGTCCAGATACAAGACCTGTCAGGTCAAACAAAGTTTGGATATACTGTAATTATTTAAATTATATCATGATAATTAAATGCTTAACATATTTTTATGTTTTTAATGTTCCTTTAGCTTCTACTCATATTTTCTTATTTCGGCTTGATCTGTTCATTCTTGTGATTTACTCTGATGAGTCCAAGACGAATAGCTTTAGTATGTCTGTGGTCTTTGCTATTCTTTGGTTTCTAAGCCTATGATGAAATCATTTGCGTGAACACAATGAACATTGAAAAGAGAACAAATGCTTTATTGTATGTAATAGGCAGTTTGAATACATTTTATATTGTATTTCATCATATCTTAATGAAAAAATTTCAGTCTCCCTTCACATATAATATGAGATTGTAATCAAATGTTTTCATTTATCCTGTTCCAATGTCAACTGAATTGAAGCCTGATAAATATCCCTATTCCCCCCCCCTTATTCTTTGTACAGATCCCACAATACTACCATGGCAACAAGTAGACAAAGGAGCTATTCGTTTTGTGCTGAGCGGTGCCAACATCATGTGTCCAGGGCTTACTTCTGCAGGAGCTAAGCTAGCTCCTGCTGAGGAAGACTCAATTGTTGTATCCTTTAATTTGCCTTGCTCTCAAAGTTTAAAGTGTACCATACTCCTAAACACATTTCTCTCTGTATGTTAAGGTTTTCACATCAGTAAACAATATTGAAGATATGAGCACCATATATTACTTCTTGTTAAGTTAAATTGTATTACAAGTTGATTATACACTCTCAATCAAGATAAAAGAAACTTGAGAGGTAAACTACTATATTGGCGGTATATTAATTTTCGCAAATTTCGCGCTAAAGCCGGTGTCCGCGAATTCTAGAACCGTGAAAATATAACCAACTTCTAATGCGTGTTCTAAACGGGCTGAATTTGGTGCAACACGAATTTAAGAACTAGCGAATATGTTTTGGGGTGGCTCAGCGCGAAAAATTAGTCGCGCGAAAATAACAGCGTTTACAGTAGTCGACACATCTGTATGGTATGGGCTCACTTACTTTAATGCCTGCATGGAACCCAGGTCCAATGTGGGTGCCGTGCACAGGTGTTATATGTCTTCATACTTTAAGACTGTTAAACCATAGAATGCAAGGTAAATATTCTGGAGGTTAATTTAACACATACAGACAACAGTGGGTTTCTGTCCGCATCAGAAAGATCCAGATACGGGTAAAGCAAATGTTGATGATGTGCCAGACGAATTCCTTCAATAAAATCAATATTAAAGTGAAGTGAAGAATTCAAGAAACCATTTTTTATTTATTATGCTTTCTCTTACCGTTGCACTCATACAAAATAACAGTTGATTGCCTTTCAGGTACCTGTAACCTTACTGTTTTGAATGTTTTCCTTAACACACCTCATGCTCTCAGGCAATAATGGCTGAAGGCAAGACACATTCTCTCTCAATAGGTTTGATGAAACTCTCCTCTGAAGAAATGTAAGTTGGTGGTCATTTTTATGCCTCCGCCACCGAAGGTGGTGCCGGAGGCATCATGTTTTCGGGTTGTCCGTCCGTACGTCCGTACGTCCATCCCGTTTGACCGTTATCACAATATCTCAAGAACCATTTAAGATTTAAACTTAAGACTCGCGAATAGTATTTATCACCATAGGAAGACGATCTGATTAGATTTTGGAGTACGTAGGTCAAAGGTCACAGGTCACAGAGGTCAACTTATGAAATTCCTTGTATTGAGTTTGTTAGCGCGATATCTCAAGAACCATTTGAGATTTAAACTTCAAACTTAAGGATAGTATGTATCACCATAGGAAGACGATCTGATTAGATTTTGGAGCACGTATGTCAAAGGTCAAGGGTCACAGAGGTCAACTTATGAAATTCCATACATTGAGATTGTTATCATGATATCTCAAGAACCACTGGAGATTTAAACTTCAAACTTAGTGATAGTGTGTATCACTATAGGAAAACATTCTGATTACATTTTGGAGCACGTAGGTCAAAGGTCAAGGGTCATAGAGGTCAACTTATGAAATTCCATACATTGAGATTGTTATCATGATATCTCAAGAACCACTGGAGATGTAAAAACTTCAAACTTAAGGATAGTATGTATCACCATAGGAAGACGATCTGATTAGATTTTGGAGCACGTAGGTCAAAGGTCAAGGGTCACAGAGGTCAACTTATGAAATTCCATACATTGAGATTGTTATCATAATATCTCAAGAACCACTGGAGATTTAAACTTCAAACTTAATGATAGTGTGTATCACCATAGGAAGACAATCTGATTAGATTTTGGAGCACGTAGGTCAAAGGTCAAGGGTCACAGAGGTCAACTTATGAAATTCCATACATTGAGATCGTTATCGCGATATCTCAAGAACCACTGGAGAATTTTCACTTCAAACTTAATGATAGTATGTATCACCATATCATAATATCTCAAGAACCACTGGAGATTTAAACTTCAAACTTAACGATAGTGTGTATCACCATAGGAAGACAATCTGATTAGATTTTGGAGCACGTAGGTCAAAGGTCAAGGGTCACAGAGGTCAACTTATGAAATTCCATACATTGAGATTGTTATCATGATATCCCAAGAACCACTGGAGATTTAAACTCCAAACTTGTTTAAATTGCTCTATGGCGGAGGCATCATTTTCGACTGCGCGTAGTCAAAATTCCATCTAGTTAGTCATGTTCTTTAAAATACAAATTTTTAAGAATTGATTTTATATTCCCTCATCCAGAAATGGTACTTTGGCTGTAGATAGAGTTCACATTTAAAAACTTTTGATATTGATTGTAAGAATTTTAAATATCATTTATCTTCATCAGGCAACTATCTTTGAAATGTTATATACAGAAATAAGAGGGAGTTAGACCTGGAGCCTGGAGGCCTTGGGATGTTTGTCATACTTCACTAAAGAAATAAGAATGAACATTTTAGTACAAGCCATGACATGATGACATTGAAAAAAAATTGGGTTTTAAGATTCGCCCCCTATGAAGCAATGTCAGAAACACAATGTTTCATTAAAATAGCTGCCTTTTTTATTGTCTTTATGAATAACTGATCAAATTTTATAACATGTCAATCATTTCCTTTTTTTAATCGAGCATTTGCATAAGTGGATAATAGATTATGTGGCTTGAATTTACTTTGAGTACCCAGCATCTTTCAATTAGCTTACATAGAGTAGGATAGTGTCAAATGTCCTAATTTATAAAGTAAGACAATTTCCCTTCCTCTTCAACTGTGGTACCGGCTAATATGGCATAACTCTATCTGTTGTTTCATTCTCTCATCCAGCCACACGGTCAACAAGGGAATCGGGATTGAAAACATCCACTATCTCAACGATGGTCTATGGCACATGACGCAGATCAAATAGCACTGGAAAAAACTTAACTGAGCTTTGTACGAGTCATCAGCGATGAGAGCGAGCGAGCAAGCAATCATGGATGGATGCGACAAACTATGATTTTCCAGCTGTCTTATCGGAGACGTTGTTGACCATCATCAAAAGGGTACCAATCACCTACAAAAATAATATTTGTTCCACTACAAGATATAAAATCAACCTCAAAAAAGCCTTTATGTGGCATTCTATGGGTTAAAGGTCAAGGGTCAAGGATAATGAAGAAAGTAAAGGATAAAGTTAAACCCAGTGCATGGAACCTAAGTTGTTTTGGATTTAGAAGAAAAACAATTGTCGGCCCTTTTGCTATGCAAAGGTGAACTTTAGCATTGACTAGTCTACTCATTGTACTTGCAGGTCACTTCAAAGTTTTTTGAGTGGGTATTTTAAATTTGCAATATATCTTTAATAATAGAAATGATATTTGAAGCTCACATTGTGAATTAAGTTTATCGACATGGAACCACCAACATTAAGCGCAAAATATTTTTGGGTGATTGGTACACTTTAAAGTAGTGTAAGGGAAAGAGAGAGAGACCGAGAGACAGAGAAAGAGAGAGAGAGAGAGAGAGAGAGTGAGAGAGAGTGAGAGAGAAAGAGAGAAAGAGAAAGAGAGGAGGTGTTGTTAAAAAGATATATTCATTTGGAGATACAATCTTCGCAGGATTGGAATGGAATTCATGGTTTTTCCACTTTGTCATCTGCTCAAAGGCAGAAGGATGCGAAGTCAGAACTTTAAAAGAGATACACACCCTTCGAGCACTCAACTAACAAATGTTGGACTTTCTTTCTTCAGCATAAACCATCGCTGGTTTGTGTTTCAGTATTTGTTTGTTCTCCCCAATGACATGCTTGACATTGGTTAGCCCAATACTGAAAAATCAGTGAGTTTTTACATTTGGTGAGAGTCCAGATTCACACAAGTGTCATGCATTTAACTGAAACACAATACTGAGTAATTTATGAAAGTTTGTTGCCATGATAATGGCTGTAGTGAACAATTAACAAAAGTGTCTGCTTTTACCGTACATAAATATTCATAGTATAAAATACATATTTGATTATTACCTGAATTTCTAATTTTGGCTCCATATTCAATATTTTTTTAATTTAAGTTATATTTGGAGAGTAAAGACTAAACTCTAAATAATTTACTTATAACGCTTATGTTGATTTAGCTGACATTTTGATTATGATTTCAGAAATTATGTACTGACAACGCTGATGTACGTGTTTATGACGAAGTGATACTCTAAAACTCAATGTGGTAATTGTATTGAGAAGTTAAAGATAAGAAGGACATATATTGCAGCTATTTGTATCTACATACATGTGTGTACATTTGGCTTCTCGGTTATTATTTCAATCGATTCAACTCCATCTAATAATGTTGATATAATGATACTAAAATTAATTATTTAACTCCAAATGGGTATTTATTTAATGATAGAACTCTGTATGACCTCTGTGTAATACCCTACTATAAACATGTGCAACTTTAAAAAAAAAAGTTAATTTTCTTTATTTTATTTAAAACTCCTTTGGGAAATCATTGGAGTGACATGTAACTAAATCCATAATTTAAATATTCATTTGGATGAAATCCGTAAACAAAGCCATGTATATATCAGTAGTGGTTTGTGTGTAAATACGTCTTTTCTCTTCTGGTGTTTGTATTTATGTGGGCAGGGCATTACAAAGTGACTTCCTCACTTAGATCATTTATTGTTTCGGTAAAAAAACATATTTGTAAGGAAACCTGCTACACAAACATCCTTTTGGCATTGTTTGATCATCAAACCCTTATACAAATTATGAAAACTTGCCACAAAGGCATTCACTGAACAATCACCGTTATAGCTGCCAATCATTCCCATTTTTAGAGGAATGATTCCTTCCACCCCCCCCCCCTTCTTCTACATGTTCATTACCTTTTTTATGCCTCCGCCACACGTAGTGGATACTCGAGGCAATTACCGTAATTATTCTTGTGAATGCGATAACTTAAAGATAAACTTGAGTTCTGGTAATGCGATTGCATTGTGAAAGAAAAGGTGTGGAATGGATCAGAAAAGTTGATAATATAGCATGTAAGTAATGGTGTGTAATGCAAGGTTCCGGAGTCATCAAAATCATAAATTTGGCAGAGTCTTGGTAAAGTAGCAATCACTTACACAGAAAGGTGTATATTGGGCAACACACATGGTGTCAGGGCTAGTACTACCCTGATTTCCTTATCTTTCTATGCTCATTACTCAGCCAGTATACATTTTCTTCCAAAATTGTTTGGCACATGATATTTATTTGTAATCTTGAACTTTCAGTGTAAGTTTCGTTAGATTCTGTGAGAATTCATTTTCTTTTTTTACCAGAACTCAAGTTTATCTTTAAGAATGAATTGAGGTATCATAGTTAAACTTGATGAGAGTATGTATGACCATGTAAAAATCACCTGATTGAATTTTCTAGTTTCCATTTAATTAATTTCTTCTATACACGTATTTCGCCTATCCCTTACTATTATCCTCTCATATCTCTTTTTGTCATAGTCCTCTTTTGTTACTAGCTCCGCCATCACTTACCATACCAGGAAACAGTACACATAGCGAAATACAAATCTAACACATTTCTTCATTTCATGCACACGATTTAATCAGAATAGACAGATTTCTTTGATTGTACATACAAAGACACATCATTTTGAATATTACATTTTAAAATGTACATTTTTTAATCACTTTGCATGACCTTTTTTCAATAGTTATTTCTGATCATTATAAGAAAAAAGTTTATCTTTTCCTACATTAATCATGCAGCTGATAATGCCACGAGAAAGTGTAGTCCCATATATATATATATATATAGTTTCCTACTTTCCTGTCTTAATTTGTTTTTAATGCAGTACCTAACTTCTGCATGATATGCCTCCAAGGTAATGCATAGTTTTTATATTTTAATAATACGTGCAACAAAAACAGAAGAAAATATCCAAGAAAATAAAGTCTAATATTTGCTATAATGCTTAATAAATTTCAAATACTTAAAATATCTGTGCGCACTATGGCTCTAAGTACCGTATCTGTAAAGAGTGTCATGTCAAAGAAATTGTTATAATACGCTACAGGTCATTCCAGAAATTTGTATTCATGTACATTTCTTAATCTCCCTTCACAGTAATGCATTAACTTGGGGGTGTTGTAAAAGGGGGTTCAGTGTCCTTCAGAACATATTTCATCCCAAAAGGAAGAGTCTCTCTATAGAGCAATGTAGAATGGCACTCTCTTGTATCACTATCTTTAGTCATAGTCGTATCAAGAGATTTTAGATGAAAATAGAGATAAATGTCAAATTTCTTGCAAGATATATTGCAGGAAATCGCTTGAAAAGTTCATGCACTAATGCCCACGAGGAAAGAATTCATCCTCGATTTCCCAATTCCTTGCTACAAGAAACTAGGTCCAAAAAATTCAAAAAGATACGGTACATTAGTTGATTGTTTTTAAATAGAAGCATACACTTGCTTCCCAAAATATACAACTAAACAAAAATTCCTAATCTAGAATACAAGTATAATTATTCCATTTAATGGCAAAATCCATCCTCTATTGTATTAAAAACGACCTAGGGAGCTTATGTGCTCTCTGGTGCTATCCGAGGCTCTGAGCCACATTTTGGAGAATTTCCAAAAAAAATATGATTAAAAATAGTTGTGAATTAATTGTGGTTGAGAAAATGAATTTTAACCCATCACTTATTTCCTGCTGATTTTCAATCATGTAATTTCAAAATTCAAACCTGTCGTTGTTACACGAGAAGCTCCTTGTGGATCACCCTGGTGGAATGAGAAGACAACGTTGTATGTTTATCAGCATGTGCAGTATACACATCACTGTAAGGCTGATATTATAGTTGGCATGGATTAACAGTGATGGAACTCCAAGGAAAACGACCTTTTAAAAAGTACCACTCACTTCAAAAAAACTAATTTGTGTACATTTCAAATGTACAAACTTGACAGAAAATAAAGAATAACATTAAACCAGACATATACAAACCAAGTTGTACTGGGTTTTGCGCAGGCCACATTCAATGCGACGGCCTACGGGTAAGTCGAGTAGTCTACTCAAATTAATGTAGATAAACTTGCGAAATCTCTTCATAGAAGTAATATTTGAAGCTCATATCTTCAATTTAGCATTAAATATGGAACACTATCACTGAGATCATATTCTTTGATGGCCGGTACACTTTAAAATTCAAAAGGGCTCCAAACAGTTTCAATATTTGGACAATAGTCTCATAATTTCTCCATACAGTATGGATCCCTGAATTAGGTAGAAATTTCAGCCACCTCACCAACATGTCTCTTACTGAATGAAATGAGGCACAAACGAACATCTGGAGGCCAATAACTAATCAGAGAAACAGATGTTTTCTTGAAGAAACAAAAACTACCAGTCGTACTGGGTAATTAGTAATGTTAGTTTTTTCTTAAAATAAATACAGCAAATAAAAGAGCACAATAAGGAGGCAATGAAATTGACAATAACTATCCCATAATTTGATTTCAAAACTAGGTTCCTTGACATTTTCAAAATGACTTTCTAAAACAAACCTGTGTTGTCTTTTTAATGCTCATGTGATCACATAAGAGGAAAAACAAAGTCGTACATATCTACTGCATGAATTTCTGAATTCCCGGACCATACTTGGCATGTGTATTACAGAATGGACACTGCAGTGCCTGCCATAAACCATGCTACAGATATAACCTCCAGCAAAAGAACTGGATAGATTTCTCCTTAAATAGTGAAAATATGTCTAAATCAATGAAGCAAAAGAAGACATAAATAAGTCATTTCAAAATATATAAAGCGAAAAAGTCGAAGTTCTATTCACAAAATTGGAATAAATCTAAATCATAATGACTCGGACTGAGGGATGTTACGAGGAGAAATGCACCTGAAAATGGACAACGATGAACATTGACAGGATCTGAGATCCTGGCGGATTGATAAGTAGCATTTCAGGTCACAGAGTGGCGAGGTATCACTAATATATTAAAGTGGTCTCCCTGAGTCAATAAACTCTGATGACCATGACATGATACGCAGGGCATCAAGATAACCTTTTTTGACAAACTGTACTGCAATATGCAACATCCGCCAGGCCCTAGGGGACAGATAAAACCCCATTTTAATGACAGATTTCCCCCACCAACTTTCCGAGGTACCGAGGGACCTTGATGCATTCACGTGGCTTGGACTCGACATGCTTTGTGAGACTGAGACCTTAGTCTTCGAGGAAGAAGAAGTTGCCGTTCCTCTTCTGTTCGGCGTCCTTGACGGAATTGAGCTTGTTGATGCGAGGTCGGAAGTTTTTGGGATCTCGTCGGAAGGTGATGTCCAGGGATTTGAGGAATTTGTTCATGCCGACGAGCAATGACTGCGGGCTGCGACATAAAGTGAGAACTTTAGTTATACACAAGAAGCTATAAAACAAGAGGGAACTACTTTTCCAGTTTATTTCCAATGGCAAGTGTTTCAATTTGATTTATTTTTGTGTGAGGAGTAATACACAAAGGATGAAAACATCTTGGCTTCTCTATATCAAATGTGCAAATCCATGAAAGAGACAATCAATAGTGAGTGATTCTTGATTTGGATAGAAAGATTCTGTGATGCCTACACTCGGACTATCATGCACCCCCTTCCCGGATCAATTACCCCCTCGACAAGTACCAAGAAAACAACCATTCCCAAATGAATTTAATACCCAACATCCACTTCCCACACAAGAACTCCTCTAGGGTAATTACTTCCCTAAGTTTCCCCTGAAAAACTTCCCTAAAATGCATTGAAATAGGCGATTGTCCAAATGTTAGAAGGTCAACCTCCAGATATGACCTGAGATAGTACATCGTCAAGACAAAGTTTCTCTATTACTTGCATAGATAGCCAAACACCTTTTTATAAAGCATTTCTTTCTTTTTTCACCTTACTAACACATCTAGCGTTTATCTTGACATACATACGAGTTCATTGACCCATTGCTTACATGGACAAGGGTCCTGTTTCATAAAACTTTCCATCAATAACAAATACTAAATTTTTATGACAAATCTGCTCTCAGCCAATCAGATGCCACTATTTCAGTAGCTTATAACAGTTATTGTAACTTGGTATTAATAACAATTATTATGCAACAGGGCCTGGGTAGTCCTTGTATTAACCCTATGGGAAGGGCAGAATTCAGCAATCAACAGGTTAAAGATAAAATTGGGTTCTGGTCATGCGATTGCATTGCGAAAGAAAAGGTGTGGAATGGATCAGAAAAAAGTTGATCATGTAGCATGTCAGTATTGGTGTGTACTGCAAGGTTCTGGAGTCATCACAATCGTAAACAATTTGGCCCAGTCTTGGTAAAGTTACAAGACACTGTACACAGAACGATGTGTATGGGACTACACAAATGGTGTCAGGGCTACCTCCCTTGATTTCCTCATCTTTCTATGCTCACTACTCAGCCAGTATACATTTTATACCAAAATTGTTTGGCAAATGACATTTATTTGTAATCCTGAACATTCAGTGTAAGTTTCATTTGATTCTGTGAGGATTATTTTTCTTATTTTTTACCAGAACTCAAGTTTGTCTTTAAGACTTACGTGTTTGCTACAGTCTGGATGGATGGTACACCATCAAACACGATGACCCTATCAGCCAGGTAGGTAGCCATGATGAAGTCGTGCTCCACCACGAACCCAGTCTTCTTCGCATGCAGGATGAACCTGAAAGTAGCAAAGACATCAACAAATTAGGTGTCATGGCTCTGATGCCGTAGTCGAGTGCTCTAATCACTTGACTGGGAATGCAAAGGTTGTGGGTTCAATCCCTGGCATGGCACCTATGTCCTTGAGCATTCACTTTTTTTCAATTGCTTCTCTCTACCCAGATGTTAAATGGGTAGGATGCGAACGTCAATGTGGTGGGATTAGCATGTGCATGCCCATAACAGGGCGACTGGCTGGAACGCTCCCAAAAGGAGTGGAGGGCATGCACTGTAAAGTGCAGACTCTTAACATGACCCAGTGACCGGGATAATAACACTGTAAGTGCTTTAATCCGATACTTTGTAACTGGCTTTATAAGAAACATTACATACGTTGTTTTTTTAATTTTTAATATGGCCCCTAGAGACCCCAGGTTTAAAACCCAGTGGATGCACCAAGAGCCTTTTGATAAGGCATTGATCCTCAATTACAGAGTCCCTCTGATAGGACTCCAAGTTGTAGATCTATGAACAATTACACACTTGCTTTCTTAGCAGTCAGGTAAAATAATCAAATTGACTTGGTTGCTTGAATGAAATCAGGCAAATAATATAATGGAAAACAGTTTTAATACTAAGGAGGCTACACTAGGTTAACAAGACATGTCATTGAGTGGTTGTTGTAATGTCTTTCTTCTTTGTTGTTTGTTGATGTGTTTGTTATGGTTCCCATTAAACATCCCTGTTGACTGCTTGCTTGCTTGTTTATTTTTGTTGTTGCTATTGTTGTTGTTGTTGTAACGTAACTGACCTCTTGATGACCTTAGCAGCCACCAGACGCTGCTCAGAGTCCAGGTAGGCTGAAGGTTCGTCAATCAGGTAGACATCAGCTGGTTTACCAAGGCACAGAGTCAGGGCCACACGCTGAAGCTCACCACCGGACAAGTTCTGAACCTGTTATCCATAGGAAGATGTAAATGTGGCTTATGGTTAAGTAAAGAAAGTAATGAATTTTACAATGAAATGTGCAGTTTACAATTGCAATAATACTTACTCTAGTGAATATGAATAATGTTTAGGCAAATGATTTCATATAATTGGTTACAAGTACACATTTCTTTCTGTCCAGAGGGAAGGACAAGTAATATACTCCAAGCACCTTAGAGGTTTTTACGCTTTCTCGCAGTTAGATTTTCAATCCTAGTAGGACAACGACCCCAGAAAATTACCCAATAAAACAATCGACATATTCTACCAGCTAGAATTCACTTTCAAAGTAGTTTTGAAAAGGAAGGCTACGAGGCAAGTTATGCAGGGATTAGTTGTCCAGGGGTGATTGACCTAGTGGGTAGTTTTCCAGTCATGTTCAGAGGGTAGTTTTGTTTAATCTATTATCTACAACATATCCATTGCTTCGGCAATATGACAGGTTATTGTAACAGCTTTGTACTAGTGCACTCTATTTTTACTTATTACTGTTTCGTTTCTCATTCCACTCTCTTGCTTTCTGTATTAATTTACTTCAGGGGTCTAATCATCATCTCGCCTTCCTGTAGTATATTGTTTGTGTCCTTCTTTCTGTAAAGGAATAATGATATCAATAAATACAGTCAAACCTGCTTTAGTGACCACCTGTCTACAAAGACCACATTTTTGTTTCCCTTAAAAGTGGTTACTCATTGAAACATGTACTAAAGGAACCTGTCTACAAAGACCACTTTTTGTGCTTTCTCTGGGGGGGGGGGGGGGGTCACTACAGACAGGTTTGACTGTAAAATAATAATGATAATATAAACATTAAAGATTTGAATGATTACCTCTTGGTCAAAGATGCTCTCGATGAGGAGTGGTTTCATGACGTCCGTTGCGAACTGCGGATGAACGTACGAGTCCCTGATCTTGGCATGTAGGAGCTGCCTGACGGTCCCCTGAGACTTTGGACTGATCTTCTGTGGCTTATAACTGATGTTCAGCTGCGGCACTTTCACTGCAAAGAGCAAGAGAGGGCGATATCTTTACCTCAATAAATTCAATCGAAACTTCAGGGGGGTGTTTCACAAAGTTGAACTTATCTCTAAATTGGACTTCACAATTATGGAAAACCGTTAGCATCTATGAAAATATTTTGAAAAATTTATTTTAAACGGCATGAAATGTTGATTCCAATCATTCATGATTTCTATTATCAAGGAGATTTCATGTTCTTGATAAGGAATTTATAAAAAGTTTAAAACACCAGAACAGCTGAATAAGGATGTTTATAAGTGTAAGAAACAAACAGTTACCGATAATATAAAAAAGATAAATGCTTGAAACTGTAGAATGCCCGTCTGGGCCCCTTATATGTATGTGTTTATGTTTGCAACACACTTAATTCATATTGCATAACGGCACAATAACTGTTTCCCCAGAAAAAGATTTGCAGCCTACATCTTTCACGAAATGTTACTGATGATGTACTGATATAAATAATTAGTTTTTTCGAGAAAAGGGACTGGGGAATCGCAAAAATTCACCAATGTAATTTGATCGTTTTGTGGCTCACAACATTGTTGAAATAAGAACCATCTGCACATTTCTAAAATTCCATGTAGATAAATGTTTCTGGTTTAACATAAGTAGTTTTGAAAGGGTTATTTCTTGGTCCTCCAAATCTATCCCAGTAACATTTGCCTAAGGTCTTATTTTATCAAAGACAAAGCATGACGGGTTGGTTAAGTTTAAGGTTAAGGATAACGTTAGATGTTATGTTTGGTCCGAGGTTGAAGTTAAGAATGAACTCAGTGTAGGTGATCCAACATTTCCACGATTTGCACCGGCGACAATCGCTCTGGGCTTTATTGCCTCAAAGGTATAGGGTTAGGGTTGCAATTGGGTTTTAAGTTAGGTTTAGGGCAAGGGTTAGGTATAGTGTTTGCTCTAGAGTTGAAGGTAGGACTTTGGGGCACTGTGGTAAATTACCGCGGAGCAATTGTCGGCGCAGCATGTGTAGTAGAAACCAGGGATGCAAGTTAGAATTGATCAGAGGTTTCTGAAAACCACCTAGAGTCAGCTATTTTGTACACAAAAAACCTAAACTATGGCCTGAAAATAAATCGCCAGGAACTATTTTCTTACCTCCTTCCTCATCAGGTTTGAGAAGGCCGGCCAACATCCGGATGAAGGTTGTCTTCCCGGTCCCATTCTCTCCCAGCATCACAATGATCTCAGAATCAGTGAAGTCACCTTGCTTGATATCCATATGGAACGAACCTGAAGCAGAAGGAATGAAGAATGGCTATGGTCATACCAAGGACACTTGGACACCCACATGGGCAATGGGTTCTTCTAAACAATTGTCTCAGCAACAAAGCTCCAATTACTCCATGTCAACTTTTTTTTAATTCACGTGGGTCCCTACTGCAACCTACCAAGTTTGTATGCATGACTATGAGCACCCTGTTAAAATTTCAAAATTGTTGGGGTTTCCCCCAAGTTGAAAAATTAGGGGCCTTTATAAGCAGGACTGTTGATGTTGAGCCCTGCAAAAAACAGTATCAACCAATGGGGAGGCTCTTAGGTTACAACACAAGTCAGTAAGAATATGTGCATTGTAATGGGAAGGAGACTGGTATTACTTTCAAAATACATCACAGCTCCTTGGCACACAAAAGATCATCAAGTTTCTCTAGCCTTTTTCGTCTCCCCCTCCCCCTCTCCCTCTCTCTTTTTGCTGCTGATACTTCCACTCAACCTCCCTCTTCTCACTTTCTCTCTCTCTCCCCCCCCCCCCCTCTCTCTCTCTCTCTCTCTCACATTCTCTCTTTCTCTCCCTTCTCTTTCTCTCCTTTCTCTCTCTTTCTTTCGCTTCTTTCTCTCTCTCACCCATTCTCTCCCCCTACCCCTCTTTCTCTTCCCCTCCCTCTCCCTCGCCCATCCACCACTTCTACATACGTAATGTTTTGCTCATTGTTGGGTACTGGTTGTGGCACATCCTCTTGATTTCCTCCTCTTCTGCATTCTCCGAGACCTTGAAGATCAGCGATGTCTCTCGGAATCTCAGGTTTTCCGTCGGCACAAAGCCATCCAGGAAGATGTTGATTCCTATTCAACAAACAAATTACCCAATAAAAACAGAGTATGAGTATAAGGATGATGATGGTGATGATAATAATAATATATGAAATTTGTAAGGGGCCAAATAAACTTGAATATCAATAAAAATCATTCTTATTTGTTACTGCTATTTACTGGTGCATTTTGTTTATTCTCTATATCTAACAGATTTTTGTTGATCTGAAATATGAGTGAATACAAATCCTACTAGACAATGTATATACAAGAACGTTTAATAAGTACAATAACTAATTTCAATGAGCCTGATTATTGAATATGCACGTACCTTTCCCTAATTCATTATCAGGAGTTTATTAACACAACAAACAATGAAACACTCATATTAAGCAGAAATCATCCAATCATATCCACAAAAAGGTCAAATTGTGGAACATGAAACAAGCAGGGGCACGGCCTTACCTTCCCTCACGCTGAAGGGTAACGTGACTACACCATAAGCACCGGGGACACCGTAGAGAACACAGATGAAATCAGACAAGTAATCCAACACTGATAAATCATGCTCCACTACAATGATGTACCTACAAGTGTCAAAAGACAGGAAAACATTTTTTGTAAGCTTGCAGATACTGAAGGGAGTGAGGGAGGGATGGGTCATAGAATTAATTCAACTCTTCTCTAGACACCAATACACAGGAACATTGTTCCGGAGAATACCGTCATGAAAAAAGGTCACCACAATATAATTTTACCAGTTCTACTTCTTTGTTGTCATTTTTTCTTCTTATTTAGTCCTGATATAACAAGAATTTAATCTAACAAGTAAATTTTATTGGGTCCTGAGGAAGTTTGTCATAATGATGCTCCACTCTTCTAGATACTCAAAAATATGAAAACTGAATCCAACTTTTACAATTGTTAATATTCTAAGCAAGACTATTGCCTATTTTTTTCTTTTCTTTTTTGTCTTCTGTCTTTTTGAATTTGTATCGCCCCTTGGATGTTAAGTATGGTTGAATAACAATTTCATTTCCTTGATGAATCAAATCAAGCTAATGGTTTATCAGGATTCCTTTATATAAAAGGTGACTCATGACTTATTGAAGAAAAGACAAAATCTTGTTCCCCCCACTCACCCACACACAAAACAACAACAACAAAAAGAATCCTCTCAAATGTCAATAGGGGAAACTAGACTGTATTCATAAATATTTCATAATTTTGTGTCTTGTAATAAAAGCTTTAAGCTTTATAATACAAACATAACCTGCCGGTTACAGGGACAGAAATTCATAAGATGTGATGCGATGTGGTATTAATTAAGGCTTACTTTTGAGGATGTATGAGGGATCTGATGGCCAGGGCGGCTTTGAGACGCTGTTTGACATCAAGATAACTGGAAGGTTCATCAAACATGTAGCTTCAAAACAAAAACAAAAACATAAACACCATTAGAATGTTGAATCTACAAGTTTGCAGTATCACATAAAAGTTCAAACAAGAGCTATTGGACTGTGCACTAGGGCTGGAAATTTGATCGTTTCAAACCAAAATCTAATCAGTTCATTCTTGTATGCTCATTTATACTTTATGCAATTTCGGTGTGAATTGCTGTAATACTTTACAAGTTATCGCAGTAACCAAATTATAGCATTTATAAAAACACTTTGACCTTTGACCTTTCTACCCAAAATTGAATCAGTTTAACCCTTGTATGCAAGATCCTCATAGAACATACTTACATGTCAGCTTTCTGGATGCATACCACAGCGCAAGCAAACCTCTGTAATTCTCCCCCCGATAACTCATCAACCTTGCGATCCTTGACTTTGGTTAGATCTGCAATATCAAGAGATCAAAGATTAGAGATAATGTTTAATACACACTTGTACTCACAAGAAAGTGTGCATGTTTTACACTCTCTTGCTGAATTGCTTGAATCTCATCTGTATAAAATCTGCAGTGTGTTCTACACAGTCACATGCCAAAACTGTAACGACGTTGTGGTACGTCCTACCCATAGCTACTTGAGAGAGAGAGAGTAGCGTCACCGGAAGTTGCTTCTGATTGGTCAGGCATTTTATGAAGCTCCAAAATAGTTCCCCCTCATAGAGATTGTACATAGGAGGGAACTATCAGGAGCAACATGATTTAACCTACGACCCATCTAGATGCCGGCGTCACAACTATCTCTCTCAATACGCTATTGTCTACGGATTATACAATCATCAACTTCATTTTAATACTTTCTTATTCTTTATTTCTCTTCTTTTCCATAGGTTATACAGCATACAATGAAAAAGTGATGTGAATTTCTTAAAATCTGAATATAGGTAAGCAAGTTGAGTGAAAGCGATTCACTGGCAATTCATATTTTATTTCAAACAGGGACATTCTGAATTGTTTCATCACATACCTTACTAATAGAACCTATCATTTGATGATTGTATAAAGTCGATAGTCATAGGGCATTGATCTAAGAAAATATCACAGAAAATGATAATGTTGATCATTTTCAAGATTCGCCAAATTCACTTTAATTTCCATGATACCTGCAAAACATGAGAAACATGGAATGATCTCTGGACTGCCGAAAAGTAAACGTTGAAATATAGTTACCTAGACGTATACATATGTCATCTTGTGTTTCGGTTTCATCTTTCTTATCCAGCAGGACTTGAACAGTACCCTATGGTTTAGAAGAAAGAAAGAGAAATAGAGAGTGTTGGGAGTGGAGAGACTTTGTGATGCAATCAATTAAAAAGCCATCATAATGGACAACTCTTGAAATGTAAATTTGCTTAAAAAATCTCTATGATGGGTGTACACCAGGGCCTTTTCTTAGAAAGAGTTGTGATTGATCCCAATCAATCGCAAGTTCTCTTATCAATCGCAAGTTGGCAGTCCACTATCTGTTATGTACATAGTTTACATTTTTTCTTGAATTATGAGGACTAAATATTGATTCTGAAGAGCATAAACAAACAAACACAGCCAACCCCCCAAAACCCCCCCCCCCAAAAAAAAAAAAAAAAAAATCCCCCATCCCCCAAGAGACAATTATAATAGTGATCATTACAAGATAGATAAAAGGCCAATTCCTCTTCAAAGAAGCTTTAAAAAAAAGAGTATTTTTGTTGTTGAAACGCAATGATATTCTTTCAAGCAAAGGGCTCCTACTTGCTGAGGTTCCTTCCATCCTATTTGAAGAGTACTAACCTTGACAGCCCTTGGGATCTGGTCCACATACTGGGGCTTGATGATGGCCTTCAGGTCATCCTCTAGGATCTTGGTGAAGTAGTTCTGGAGCTCGGACCCGCGGAAGTAGACCAAGATCTGCTGCCAGTCTGGTGGTGCCTGGAATGTTAAATAAGAGTAAGACAGAGCCAGACTTATGAGCAAGAATAAAACTAGGGGGAGGCAGACACTTTTATGGAGTTCCATTGCATCTATTAACCCTTATGATACCACACTCAGAAACAATATAAAGGGTGAGAATGTTGTTGAAAAGTTTTTGAAAAAACGGCAAATTTAAATTGAATCTTGTGTATCCAATTAAAGGATTTTTAAGCTTATTTTCCTTTTTTGAAATTCCTGGCATCAAAGACAATATAGTCATTAAAAAAAATGGATGCAGTGTGTTCAGAAAAGTTTGCCCTTTGCAGTCATGCATCTAGCATATTTTTTTAGAGCTCTGAATGAAATGTTATCGAAGAAAACCACAAAATGTGGAATGATTGTCACTAAAGAGTTAATCCAGACATTCAGACTGATTCCAACTCGACTCTCTCAACCAATCAGAGAGGCAGACACTTTGATCATGATTGAATTTTGGAAAATCTACATTTGGGGAAGATGCAGTCAGTTTTCAAGCACCAGTGAGCGAGTTGACACTTGGTGAGACCACACATCTTTACTCATTTTCATGTCATACAAGTTCAAAAGCACCACAGGACAGTATAATTGATAAATACTTACTAGAAATTTTCCTAGATTTGGTTTGAGTTTTCCTGCAAGGATTTTTAGAGCCGTTGACTTGCCGATTCCGTTGGTCCCTACAAGTCCTAGAACTTCACCGGGTCTTGGGGTGGGTAATCTGGATATGAAAATAATAATTCCGTGATTAAAGGGGAAGTCCACCCTGAGATTAAGTTAGTTTTAATAGGAGTAGAAAAATGAGAGAAACAAGTCAGTGAAAGTTTGAGCAAATTCCGATTAAAAATAAGGAAGTTAGGATTTTTGAAGTTGTGATCAATCAAACACCAATTGGCAACTCTATGACGTATCATGCAAGCTCAACTTCCATTTGCTCAGTACTAAAAAAATCTAAAATTTTCATTTTCCCTCAAGAAAAATTTCAACCATACATGCACCCTAAATATAATAATTGCAAATATGTTTCTATACTCCCCCTGCAAGGAACAAATATATATTCCGTCATCAATAACGAAGAAAACATGATTTTATGGAATATTATGCACAAAGCAAATGAAGGAGAGCTCGTATAATAAGTCACAGAGTTGCCAATTTGTATTTGATTGATCACAACTTCAATAATTCATAACTTTCTTATTTTCATTCAGAATTTGCTCAAACTTTCACTCACCTGATTTTCTTATTATTCTGCCTCTATCGAAACAAACTTATTTTGGGGGTGGACTTTCCCTTTAAGTCCCTGGACCCCAAACCAATAAACTTTTAATATATTTTTTCCTGATGTTCAATGAATTCATACTGAACAGTTCAAACAATGTGAAAGATAAAAAAAAATTCTTATATTGCATGCTCAATTTTTTTTAATTGACTACAGGCCCTGTTGATCAATATCGATGTGGGAAATGGCAGCAAACACATAGGCAAGAGTCCTGTGACAGGGTCTAAGGTGGTGCTTGTTCCAATCAGGGTTTAGGGAGAGACTACCCCACATTATCCCCTATGCATGGGATTACAGGTCCTCATTAACAGATACAAGTGATGCAAAATCATACCATAAGATTATACATTTGTAAGACATAATTGTCCTGGAAGCGAGGGTGGTGGAGGTGTCGAGGGATAGTGGTTCATTCACTTGACTCTTAATCCAAGGGTCGGGGGTTCGATTCCCAGCCCAGCACTGATGTCCTTTGGCAAGACATTAATGCACTTTTGCCACTCTCTATCCAGGTGTATATGGGTACCTGGCAATTGCTGGGTGATAATAGTTGCAGGGCCCGCAGGAAGAGCAGTATTGAAACTAATGTGGCTACCCTAGGAAACCAGGGCTGCGTCTCACGAAACCGTCATAAGTACAAGTTGAGCGACATCCCATTGAAATGCCTGTATTAAGTTTAACACGCGTTTCAATGGGCTGTCACTCAACTTGTACTTATGATGGTTTTGTGAGACGCAGCCCTGAAACCCACATAGAAATGAACATTTACCTATGTAGCTTAAAAGAATTTGCATTGTATCTATGCGTTGTATCCTTCTCAAGATTACTGGGCAGATTGATGATATGAATAGCCTCAAATGGACATTTCTGGAAAAAAAGAACAGGACAAAAATCATTATTTCTCTCCATTAAAGAATATCATGTTATTTTTTTTAATTTTTTTTAAATTGGTTTAATGACCAAGATTTTGGTAAAATCTTAAAGTTACAGAAAAAGTACAAAAAAAGATACTTTCTGGCAGTTTATCCAACAGACAGTAAGAACTCTGTACAAAATTATCAAATAAAGAATTGTGAATTGTGCATTGTGCAGAGATTTAAATTCAATTTCCGAAGAAGACGAGAGTTACAACACTGTTACTTTATACAAAGGCAATAGTAGAAAAAAGGATGTGAATTTGTAGAAGGATAATGAATAGGAGAGTGGGAAGGAGAAGGGGAGGAGGAGAAGAGGTGGAGAAGAGGTGGAGAGGGGAGGCAGAGCGGGAGAAGGAAGGGGAGAGAGGGGGAGAGTAGAACAGAAAGGGAGAATGGAGAAGGTGGTGTAAGAGAGAATCACAGACAAGCACGGTGTCAGGTTAATAAAGTTGACCTACCTTCACGCAGATACCACATCCAATACAAAGTTGTTCTGAGATATATGCTATTTTGCTGGCTGGGGTCACTTCAATGCAAAGCTTACCTGAAGAAAAAAATATATACAATTTTTCAAATAATCTGAAAACAGCAATCCTAATTGATTCATCCTTGGAAACAATCAAGTTACGCTGAAAAAATACATGGATGTGTAATACAGTGAGACCTGTATATAAAGACTGCTCAGGGGAAACATAAAAAGTGGTCTTTACAAGCAGGTGGTCATTATGTACAGGTTCCTTTAGTAAAGGTTTCAATGAGAAACCATGTTTAAAGAGAAGGTTGAGTTCTGGGAAGAGGTGAAAAATAATTTGTGAGCATTACTCATTCTTATTATACAAGTGTAGAAGAACATCAGTTAAGACATGTTCCCTGAAAAGCATTGCTCTTCAAATGCCTTCATATTCTAAATATGCATGTAACATCGTAAAAATCGGGGGGGGGGGGGGGGGGGGGGCCGGCTTTTTACGCCACTTGTTCGTGTAGTCCCATATACATCTTTCTGTGCAAGTGTTTGGAACTTTACCAAGACTTGGCCAAATTTCTTATCATTTTGATGATTCCAGAACCTTGCAATACACACAAATTCTTATATGCTAGATGATCAACCTTTTCTGGTCGATTCCACACCGTTTCTTTCACAATGCAATCGCATGACCAGAACTCAACTTCATCTTTAAGGGAAACAAATAATGTGGTCTTTCTATACAGGTGGTCGCTAAAGCAGATTTGACTGCACATTAAACCAATATCCAATACTACACTGATCAGTATGGAGTTGGTTTAGCAGTGTGGCTGAGGTGCATAATATTGCATTCAACCACAGCTTTCGTGGGAATGGATGTCAATAGATATTAAAGAGTAAGTATTCTTTTTCCCTTACCCATCCTCACAACAGGACATGACTTGCGGCATTCCTGTCTGCATTTCTTGGGCTTGCATTTGTCGGCGTTGACGATGGCTATCCTGGTCAGCTTTTCCGACGTGGCCATCTTGACCTGTGGGAAGCACTGGACTCTTCTGGTCACAAGAGATGAAACAGTCTATCTATAGGACAGTGGAAACCTGGTAGAAAAATGGAAAGAGAGAGAGAGAGGAAGATAAACATTATATCCTTTTTTTTTTTTTTTTACAGACACATACCAATGAATGCCGATTGCATTTGGGGATTGACCTTCAAACATCATAATCTGGGAGAGTCGACTCAGTTTCAAATCAGGGTCAATCAGAGTCGATTTGTAGTCAAGGACAGAGAGTTGTCCTTACCACTCACCTTGCCGCTAGACAAGGGGGGTGTTCCACAAAGATCCTAAGTTGAACTTATCTCCAAGTTGGACTTAAAAATTATGGAAATTCCTTAGCATCTTTGAAAATATTTGGTAAAAGTTATTTTAAAATGTTGATTCAAATCATTCATATGTTCTATGATCAAGGAGATTTCATTTTCTTGATGTGGAATTTATGAAGAGTCTAAAATACTTTTCAGCTTTGGAATATATTTTATTTTAAGGCTACAAATGGCTCTCCATAATGTTTAAGTCCAACTTAGAGTAAAGTTCAACTTAGGATCTTTGTGAACCCCCCCCCCCCCCCCCCCACCCCCCGGCCCCACAGACAAACTTTTTCAAGCCAAGTGGATATTTACACTTTCTTTCTGCTGCCTCCAGTCTCAAGACCACTGGAGCGAGCACAGACGATGAACTGCCAGAGTCCCCTATTCAGTGAAGGATTAATCATTTTTATCCAGATGTTTCATTTCACCTTTCTTGACCATAAGGGCATTTCAAACTCAATAGAATGGGCATCCTCCCATCAAATTTTAAGTCCACTATTAAAGAGCAAGTCCACTCCAAAAATAAGCAGTAGGGGCGCTAGCTTGAGAATAAGGACGCGATTTGTCCGCATTTACAACAAATAGATAGACCCCTACAAGGATATCGTTTATGCAGATGATCCTCTTTATTTATCAGACCAGCACCACTAGACTCTACTGATCAGCTGATGAGCAGATGAGTACAATTGTAGTGTCCTATTTATCAATTGATCACACAATATGGCCACTCACTGTAATCTTAAGCAGAATACCTATGGTGCATTTGATATTTTCACCACACACAGCTGTGATGTCGCAACTTGCATGGCCATAGTAATTGCATAGACCTACATGATGTAGGTCTATAACGGTAGTATTCATTCATTCATTCATTGGTGTCCCATTCATTGAATACAGAAAACCGCGCGCTATACTGCTCAGTGCAGCTGCAGCGGCAATTCATCCATAATCAATGCAATATCGGAAAACTTACCGTATGAAGAGGCGTTTTTCTTTCAACTTCTACTCTTAATCTTAAGTTGGCGAAAGTTTGTCATAAAGTGTCCTTCTATCCAAGTCGTTTTACAGTAATTCGCCTACCAGATTGCCCGAGTTTTTTGACACACATGCACACATGTGTACTTTCTCGTAAAGTTATCCGAAGCAAAACTGTCGAGAGTTGGCGCTCTTTTAGAAAAATTAGAGCTGTGGGTGGGAAATATATTGAATGTAGCTCTGAGAGTTGCGACACTGAGAGAAATTTATATACAGTCAAACCTGCCTTAGTGACAACGGTGTCGATTTGTATCCGTGTTTGGGGGGATGATAGGTGCCAAAATATTTTCGGCAATGGATCAAAGCAACCAAGAGGTAGAAGCGGGCGCGGATCTAGGATTTCTTAGGGGGGATCCAAAATTGAAATTATACGAGCCAAATATTGGTACGTAATAGTGACAACGGCAGTGGCAAAAACTTTTTTTTGGGGGGGGGGGGGGGAGGGGGGTAGACAACAAACAAATCCCCATCACCCCACTCTTACATGCAGGCTTCGCTGAATGTTCCTCGGCGGGGGTCCAGGGGGTGGAGCCCCCGGAAGCTCAGGGGTTTTGGGCAATAAATTACGGTCAGATGAGCATAATTGATACCTTTTGTGACACTGGCCGGACACTTTGCGTGAGGTCCTGGGGGCCGAGACAACAGAAGCTCAGGGGTTTTAAGGCATTTAATCACGGTCAGATGAGCAAAAAAAAATTGGGCCCCGGAAATTGGAAAATTACGTCGTAAGATATTTCGTTTAGGGGCTTTGGGGGGGGGGGGAGGAACACCTTTTTTGTTGCTTTCTTTTCAAGAGGCACTAGATCCATGTGTGTAACTTAAGAAAGAACTCTTTGTTTACCCGATTTAGTTCAGGTGTCTATGAAAAATTGTTATTAAAAGATGCATGTGTTCATAATTTCTCTCGTAATTCAGGTTAATAATTTTGTTCAAGGTAAATAGAGGAAAATGTATATCATTATCTCCATTTGCTATCTAAAGATTTTGCTCCTTTCGGAAAAAAGCTCTTTAAATGTTTTACATGTAGAGATATAAATAAACAAAGAAATGGATGAAATCAATGAAACAAAATCAGAATCAGGGAACACACTGAAAGTTTCGTCTCCTACATGCTGCCATTTGGACAAAACCGTCTTTCTCTTCAATGATACAATATTTTATTACTTTACTTGCATATTTGAAAAAAACGCATCATCAACCCCACATAGTCATAGCTTTAAAAATCACTTCAGATTGAACTGGCCAAAAGTCATGTGATATTCTTGTCTCATATTACGGTTGTCTTATTTACTTCGTTTTCTATTTATATATGTATGTATCATAAAAAATGAGATAGAAAAATGTGTATATTGATGGTCATCTTGCGAGTAATAACCATTAACTACTCTCATCGGGCTCTCATCATTAATTTTTCTCTTCATTTTTTTTTTGATGGTGAATTATTGGGGGGGGGGGGGATGATTGTACAGCCACCCCCCACCTGAAATATTGGGGAGGGGGGATATATCCCCACCCCCCCCGGGATCGACACCATGCATGCTTAGTGACCACCTGTCTACAAAGACCACTTTTTGTGTTTCCCTTGGGCGGTCGCTATAGATAGGTTTGACTGTATATGAAAAAGAAAAGACAAACAAAGAAAACAAAAACAAACCATGGACTTTCTAGTAAGTCCGTGAACAAACGATGGATAAAAACTTCACTACTTCAATTCATTGACGGAATGGTAAAGGGACGGAACATTCGAAAACAGTCCCTATAGGTGTCGTCAGGCGCGTAAGCAGGCGTAAGCAGGATTTTTTTCAAGGGGGGGGGGGGGGGTTAACATGTATAAATCGAAATCGGGCCGAAAATTTCGCAACGACTCAGCCAGCCGCTGAATAGGGGGGGGGGGGGGGGGGGGGGGGGGGGGGGGGGTAAGAGGACACTTTTTTTTTTTGAAATTTGAAAATTTGACATTTAGCTCCGTTGGGGGAGGGGTAAGGTCATCATTTTTTAGGTCAGCCATGGAATAATATTTTTTTTTTTTTTTTTTTTTTTTTAATAATTAAAAAAACAAAACAAAACAAAACAAAAAAAAGGGGGGGGGGTTTAGGGGGTTATGGGGGGGGGGGGGTTACACCTCCCCCCCACCCTGTGTACGCGCCTGCGTGTCGTGCCCCTGTAATCACAGGAATAATTAGGTATGTGTGTTTTTTTTGGGGGGGGAGGGGTTATGATGAATGTAAAAATAACAAACATTTCTGAATTTATTTTCGAACCAGGTAGATCAAAAGGTCAAGAGTAGTACATTTTGGTACACTAAAATTCCAATGTTGTTTTACATAAGCTTTTATATTTTTCATCTACCTTCACAGGTATCAGAAGCAATTAAATTGTAGGTGAGATGGGTGATTTGGAGGGGGGGTATGTATTGCTTAGCCGATGTTAGTGTAGGTAATTCCTAGCTGAGAGATGGCGGCTCGTGGTCGATTCGCCCCCCCCCCTCCGATCCGTCACTGATTTTAGACATCCCACCCAAAATGTTGCCGACCCGTCACTTAAGATCTCTCTCTCTCTCCCTCTCTCTATCTCTCTCTCTCTCTCTCTGTCCCCTCTCTCTCTCTCTCTCTCTCTATCTTTCTCTCTCTCTCGTTTTGCATTTTTACATTAATCTTTTTCACTGGTGCTATCTCACGTACTCATACTATATTGCCCCCAAACTTCTCTGCCTATCCCGTATGAGAATTCGGACTGAACTCAAGTATTGAATGAAACTATATTTGATGGAGAAAACAGTATTGGTGTCCATAGCGTACTTCGTATAATATTTTCAATTAAAACAATAACTTATGCTCACTTCAAGTGAATAAAAAGGGGTTAAACATCAGACTATTTTTAGAGATAACAAAAAAAAGGGGGGCGATGGACACAAACAGGGTCACTAGCTGGGCATTGAACTCGATACGTTCCAATTGAGACACGATAACCTATCCGCAAGACTGCTGGTCCCCTCTGAAAATCTCTATTTTTTTTCCTCATTAACACTTTCAGTTGTAGTTGTTGAAGTCGGAAAGACGTAAATTAGTAATTGGAAAAAAAGAGGTGTTTGATATTCTTCGTATAATTCGGAGAGTCACTTGCTAAAAAAAGATGATATGATAATTTTGGATTGTTACGGACATGAATTTTGTCTGGGACGAAACATATTTTGTTGCCAATGAAATAAATTTGTTATGGACTAAATTATTTAGTCTTACTCATTTTGCAACAAAATTATTTTTTGTCACAGCGCCGAAAGAAGTTGTCTGAACATTGTGAGGAAAATGATTTTGTAACAGAATTCTTTCTGTAACATAAAAGCTGTTACAATTTTTTTTTTGTAGGAATTATTTTACAACAAAATTAAGTTCGTTCGAGACAAAATAATTTTGCTCTAGGCAGAATGATTTTGTATCGAATGAAATGATTTTGTCCACCTTTTTTTGTAACAAAATGTATTTTGTTCTAGATTTCTAGATTTGTTACTGAGAGTTGAATGATGTCTGAACCCATGCGCATGCTTTGTTGTGTCAAACCAGCAAGCTGGTCGACGAGCGAATACTTTTTATAAAGTTTATTAGCGCTTCTGCACACGATACGCCCACACAACCACATGATATTATTTTGTTACTTTGGTATTTAAAAAACTTGCATTTATGTTTTGTTTCTATTCTGCTTTATGTCGCAGTTATGTTAATATTGTAGTGTAAGGACCCCAAGGAAGAACAGTAGTGTTCTATAAACACTGCTGAATTGGGTATCCACCGATATATTTTTTTGTCTATGTACATGTATAAATGTTTTACTTTGTATATTTTATTATGTATAATATTTTTATCTGATTTCGGAAATAAAAACAACAACAACAACACAACTCAAGTAATTTTTTTTTAAAACAGAATCTACAATTTTGGATTATCTTTATACAATTAAGGACATACAGAAAATAGCAAAATAAGGTACAAATTGAAATTCATCCAGCTGCAGTATACAGATATTGATATACATGTACTTTAAAAAGTTGATATACAGACCGACAAAAGGTGAAGTAAATACAAAATGAATGATTGAAAAATTCATCACGTATGCAAACCACAAGAGCGGAACAGAGGTAGAAGCACAAATCATACACTCCTTCTTTCATCTTTCACGATCGAGGTGTCTTAAAATATCTCTTTATTTACTCTCATCCCTTAGTATTACATTTGTTTTTATTTGCTCCATACAAAATGTGTGCTTCTGCGTATTAAATATGTTTTTGCACTTATTTTACCATATTAGGTTGAATTTCATATTACGGGCTTGTTTCTCTGTAAATTACGAGTAACACGGTTGACATAAAAGTAGAATCACGAGCCGAAAACGCTTATTCATGGACCCGCAAAGACGGGCCAAGATCTCAAAGAGTTTGGAAAGAAAAAAAATCAACTTGAAGACCCGTAGTACATGTATAGTGGTCGGTCACATGACTCTTAATCTAAGGGTAGAGGGTTTGGGTACATAAAAAGTATAGACAAACATAGAAATGTCAGAAGTATTTGGCCCAATTGTAGCTATTTTCTTGTTCTGTTCTCTCTGTCTCTTTTTTGTGGCAACACCGTATTTTATATTGACTAAGATTATATGGCTTTGCTTAATTACAAATAATTGTTACAAACACAATGAAAACTTCATCATTAATTCCTAACTGCTTAAGATAAAGGGAAATAGATTTTGATTAAGAATCTCCCCGAGACCTTTGATCTTCTTTATCGAAATTCAAATTAATTTACGAGCGATATGAGCTTGTTATATCTATTACCTGAGTAAGTATGGTGTTACGTTATGTTTTGATTGAGTCATGTAAATACCCTGAGAGATTTGAAGAGTGATTGTGATACGATGTTTTCAGTCATAATCATGAAGATGAATCCGTCACCATTGCGATCCTTACAAACTGCAAAATAGAAAGAAAAGAAAAAAAAAAAGTGATCCGTCATGGAATGATGCATCGGATGAAGAACAAAAAGATCTGTTTAAATGGGTTCTTCGAAATGATTAACATGAGATCACATGCATACAAATTACTTTAATAATTGAAAGCATATAACATTATACAATTGTCCTGGAAACTCTTTTAAATATCGATTGATTATGAAATTCCAAGAATAGTGATTAAAAAAAAAATCACTGGATTCGAACGCGAGACCCTTGTTTATAATGCTAACCCTATTATGGCGACGGGCTGTAGGGATATCGGCGACATCGAATTAAATTAAAAATTTAAATTTAAATTAAGTCTTCAAACTTCGATTGGTAATTTCTTTGCCGGGGCAGGTGAGTTTTTAAAACTTTAAAAGCAGAATGCATCGGTTGGATCCAAGCAAATGCTTTGAGACCCCAGCCCCCCCCCGCTCAGTGTATTTAGGGTACGCATTATGCACGTTCCCTCCTTTTGAAAATCGACCCCATAAGTCCGGTGTGTAAAGTCAATACGGCCGCATTTTTGTGTACTATGATACAAGCCGGACTTGGTGCGTGAAAGTACCCCTTTACCAGACATTTGGGAACACGCATGGTATCCCTCCGTTCACGGAGTGGGGGGGGGGGGGGGTGGGGGGGGGGGGTTGAGACACTCTTGTTCGGGT